CACCAAAGGGTCTCTGGTTCAATTCCGGTCAAAGGCACGTGCCTGGGTTGCAGGTCCAATCCCTGTCCCCAATCCAGGCAGGTATGAGAGGCAACCAATCCATGTGTCTACTTCACATTGATGTTTCTCTCTCTCTCTTCCACTCCCTCCCTCCTTCCACTCTCTCTAAAATTCAATGGAAAAAAATATCCTAGGGTGAGGATGAACAACAACAGTAACAAAAATGTTTATACTACCTGATCCACCAATTTAATAATCTAAACTATGAATATAACTAAAAATTCAGATAAGATTTAAGGACAAAGATATTTAAGGCTTTGTGATTTATAAAAATGAAAAACTAGAAAACAAAATGACTGTCAATGAAGGAAAAGTTAATAAATTATACAATGAAATTATCTTCAAAATACACATAAAATGAGAAAACGTTCATGATATTCTGTTATATGGGGGAAAAAGAAATCAAAACAGTATATAGGGTATGATCACACTTTGTTTAAAAATAAAGCAAAAAAACAACAAAAATATTAAAAATACTTTTCTCCGCTCCTATTATTTCCTATTTTCTGAATTTTTTCAAATTTTCTATAAGGTATTTCTATTTAAATTGTGAGAAGAGGATAAAAATAAACCATTTTCACCCTGGCTGGTGTGGCTCCGTTGGTGGTCATCCTGTACACTGAAAGGCTGCTTGTTCGATTCCAAGTCAGGGCACATGCCCGGGTTTCAGGCTCCATTCCTGGAGGGGGTGTGCAGGAGGCAGCCAACGATGTTTCTCTCTCTCCCTCTCTCCCCCCCTCTCTCTAAAAATCAATAAAAATATTTTTAAATCATTTTCTAAGCATAGTTTGAAAGTATTTATTTGTAAACAAATAAACACTGATCCTAATAAGAAATTCTGGGAGATAGTTATTGATTTGTGACCAGTGAAATTAACTGAATTATTATTCAATAGCAAATAACTCATAATATTATATAACATAGCATTATTTTTTTTTTAATCTTCACCCGAGGATATGTTTATTGATTTTCAGAGAGGGGTATTGGAGGAGGAAAAGGGGAAGAGAGGAAGAAGGGGAGGTGAGGAGAGGGGAGAAGGGGGGGAGAGAAAAGAGAGAGAGACAGAGAGAGAGAGAGAAAGATCAGAGAGAAGCATCGATCAGTTGCCTCTCATATGCTCCCCCGACCTAGGTATGACAGGAAGTCAAACCCACAACCTTTCTGGGTATGGGCTGATGCTCCAACCCACTGAGCCACACCAGCCAGGGTTATAGCATTAATTTTTATCCATTTCCTTCAGATATGTAAAAGTAAACTGAAACACTTAAAACTGTTTAAGTGAGAATTTTTTTAGTCACCACATCAAATCATTATCACCATTAACTGCCTTGATATTAATAAAGTTTTTACTTTAAAAGGTGATTTAAATTCATCTAACACTCAAATACTTTCTTAAAAAATACTTGCATATTTTATCAAGAATATACAGAAAAATAACTTTCATTTTAAAGGCTGATATTATAAAAGCATATATAAAAATAGTACTTCAAAATAAGTTTCTTCCTTTTTACTCATTTTTAAATATTTTTGGATCCCACCATTTCATTGAGGGCCTTCGGGTGAGGGTTAAAGGCTGGGAGGACAAACACATCTGACGTCCTCGGCCTGGCCAGACTCTCCCAGCTTTGGAGCCACCAAAGAAATAAACTTCACTTGAATCTCGCATACCTTTTCTCCAATATGTCCAAGTCCCACTTCAAATGTGCAGCCACTTTCAGAGCAAGTAGCTTTAAAATGCGATTTCTCTTGTTATCCGGTGGAGGCTGAACTTGGTTTTGTTCATTAACTGAAGGTTTGGAAGCCTGTTCCAAAAACTGAACTATAAGTTGAACAGGTGCAGGATCTAGGATTGAAAAGAAAACAAACTCTTAAAATTAAGTTGTCATTAGGAAGATGCAAAGGGATTTAGCGTTTCGGTTTACGGCAACAAAAGGAACCCAAGCAGCTGTGTAGTTGTAATGACTAAGGATACGATATGTAAGAATTGTACCTGGGAAACGGGGGAAGGTCAGGAAGAGGAGTAAAGAGGAAGGGATAAAGACGAGTGTCCAGCCCTAGCCGGTTTGGCTCAGTGGATAGAGGGTGGGCCTGCAGACCGAAGGGTCCCAGGTTCAATTCCAGTCCTGGGCTCCATCCCCATTTGGGGGCGTGCAGGAGGCAGCCAATCAATGATTCTCTCTCATCATTGATGTTTCTCTCTCCCTCTCCCTTCCTCTCTCAAATCAATTAAATATATATATATATGCATATGCATGTATATATTAAATTGAACTGTATCAATTTTTATTTATATATATATAAATATATATATATATATATATATATATATATATATATATTTTTTAAAAGAGGAGTATTCACATGCAGAAGAAAGCGCGTGGCAGGTAAGAAGAGCAAGGCCACAGATTTCCAGCCCAGCAAATACCCAAGGTCCACTGGAGGAACGGGATGAAACCACCAGCATGACTGTTTCAAAACTTAATTGGTCGCACTTGCATCAACTACCTCCCTACACCTGCCCAGCGGAGATGACACCCCTTGCCTCACAGGCTGATGAGGAGGAACGAGTTCAATGAGATGACCCGAGGCATTAAGCACAGAGCCTGACCCCCAGAAGGCCCTTCACAAACGCTTGTCAAGAGCAACGGAGTTAAAAGGAACACAACACAGGCGGTAACATGACCGAGGAGAGCACACTCACTCCTCCCGCAGTATTAGCTTTCCAGCGGTTAGAGCCAGTCTCTTCGGTTGCCCGCACCACATCTGGATCCCCACCTGACCAGCAAAACCCTGCCCCAGGAGGTGCCTTCCCACCCCAGGGCCGTCCCAGGGAGGCCTGGAAACCGCCTTCTTCCCCGAACAGCCCGCGGCCGGGGACGCCCATCACTGTCACCCTCAACAACAGTCACCTGCAGCCGCACGGCCTTCCCTGTCCTCCAGGACGTGCCCACAGTGAGGTGCGGCCCCGCTTTGCAATGCACAGTAAGACTCGGCAGAAACCCTCTCGCCCAGGCACAGAACAGTCAGGGAGCACCGACGGCATCGCCGGCGTCAGGATTACAACGGAGCCGTTTCTTTCCCCCCAAACGCCCCCACCACTGATCACACGGCCGGGGTTCTGCGGGAAGCCAGCCCCCGCCAGGCAGCCATCTCCGGGGACCACCGTGCGGTACAAGGACCGGGACACGGGGACCGAAGAGCCTGCCCCGCACCCGGACGCCTCCTGCGCAGCGAGGGGCCCGGGCCCCGCTCCCCTCGGGCCGCCGGCGCCGCGCTCACCCGGGCAGGGCTTGCGGAGATGTTTCTCCAACAGCGACTCCTCCAACAAGAACTCGAACCAGCAGGTCTGCGGCGGGGTGCAGGGCCGGCTGGAGGTGGCCGCCTCCCGGTCCGCCGCCTCCGCGCTCATCCTGCCCCCGCCGCCGCTACCCCCGGGGACGCTGCCCGGCTCCAACCTGACACTGGGACGGACGTGGGCCCGGGACTGCGACCCGCGGAACCGCCGGGAACGCGGACGCGCTCAGACCCGCCCGGATCCCCGCACGATCTAAGATGGCGGCGGCCCCGGCGGAGGCGGAGCCCCGGGCCCCGCCCCCCTGCGCCTCCGGCCAATCGAGGCTCGGGTTGGAGAGGAAGGAGGCGGGACCGGACCACAGACCACGCCCCCCGCGGGTTACCGTGGGAGATGATTGGGGGAAGCTGGGTCCCAGCGGGCTTTTCGCGTTTTTCTGGGAGTTTCTCAGCGAGTGAAAGAAACACCCTGATTAGGGTTGCGACGAGCCTCGACGTGCTCGTGGAAGACGGTGAGCGCGTCTCAGCGAGGGAGCGGGGGTAGCAGCTGCTCTGCGAGTTTCGCGGTGCTGCCCAAGGACAAGCAGGAGGACGATGCTGGGAAGTCGGCCAAGAAAGACAAAGACCCAGAACAGATCGGGGTGGTCCCGAGGCAAAGTGCAGGACGAGCTCAGCTCCTAGTCCTGCTTGACAAAGCAACGCGTGCCCAGCTGTTGCCTCTGAGACGGAAGATCCTGGGTTCCTGGCCTGGGCAGCCCTCAGCTCCTTGCTAAAGGGCTTATTCCACTAGTGTCACAGCACAGAGCCCAGGTAATTGACACCAGAAACACCAAAGGCCTCGATGCCCCAGGTGATGGCGAAGATGCGTGAACAACAGGTCCCATCAGCTGCACGTTTTGAAAAATTAAACTTTATTAAATTTTAAAAAAAATAGTGAGCCAGGCAGTTTGTCTCGGGTGCTTTCAATTTCCCCATTTCCGTTTCTGAGGTTTCCTCCCACCTGGGTCGTCCCGAAGGACTTGGCCCCCAGCGCCCTGGTCCCCTTTCTCTTCCTCCAGGGATGACAGCCTGCAGCGAGATGCAGACTTTGTCACTTCCCTGGTCTAGCTCTCAACATTTAGCTCCTATGTAAGCCTCTTGATGTCCCCGCTATGGGTATTGTTAACCCCATTTACAAAGTAAATATGTTCAAAAAACATATAATCATGTATGTCATTAAGGTTTAAGAAATCAGTACAGCCCTGGCCAGTGTTGGTTGGGCGGCGTCCTGTGCACTGAAAGGTTGCCGGTTTTCGGGCACATCCCCAGTAGGAGGTGTGCAGGAGGCAGCTGATCGATGTTTCTCTCTCATCGATGTTTCTAATTCTCTATCCCTCTCCCTTCCTCTCTGTAAAAAATAAATAAAATATATTATATAAAAAAAAAAAAGGTTGCCGGTTCCATTCCCAGGCCATGGTGGTCAACAAGAACAAGTGCCTTAAGAAAGGTGGCCAAAAGGGAGCCAAGAAGAAAGTGGTTGATCCATTTTCTAAGAAAGATTGGTATGATGTGAAAGCACCAGCTATGTTCAATATAAGAAATACTACTATGTATTAGAAAAACACTAGTTATGAGAACTCAAGGTTTATGTATAAATAAAAAATAACAAACATTTTCCAAGAATTTTATTATGGAAACACAAGGGAGTGTAATTAAGCATGAAATAATTTCATTCATGATAATAGACACATTATAAAAATGTGAAGTAAACTAGTTGACACCCCAACTCATTTAAAGGATTTATACTTACTGAAATTAATTTTTATTCTTTTGCAAAGACAACCTTAGTTACAGGATGAGCACATTTAATCTAAATATTCAATGTAATAGATATAATTCATAAGTCAACATACATAAAACCAGTTGTATTCATCTTTGTTAAACAGCTGTACAAAGCTATTAACATAAAATATGAAAGGATTCTTTCGGAAATATTTCAAGCCATAAGTCTGGAATGCATGTTTCTTTCTGATACTATTATTCCACTAATTACAATGATCAGATGTTCAGTGTATCTCCTATAGAACTGCACATAGGATTATATATACCGAGATTAAAATATTGCAAATTCCAAGAAACTTATAAACAGATTTGGTTCCAAGTTGCCTTTATATTAAATGCAGCAAATCTTTTTTATTATGAAAAACAAGTTTAATGTTTAGAAACCTTAATGGATGAAACATAGTTGAATCAAATATATTCCTTTGCAATTTTGTCCTCTAATTTTATTTAAACTGTTAACTCTACACATTAAAAAACTTAAGCCACAAATAAAATAAAATAAAATAATAAAAAAAGAAAAAACAGTAAAAAAAAAACTTAAGCCATTGTTTCAATAAGAAATTGTCAATTTCACTTGCAACTTTTTTAGAGCTGTACTTTTAATACATATTGGGATCTAAAACTATTAGCAAATAGCAAAAACTATTTTAAAAACTGGACCAATACAGAGAGAATATATTGATGCAAATCAGGAAGTAGTTATTTGCTTTACAGAAGATTCTTAAATATGCAGAATAATTCATAACATATGCCCTCTAAATATTTATGCATTTAAAATAAATGTACCAAAAAAAAAAAAAATCAACTGACATACAACTTTTAGAAACCCCACCAATTTTATAAAGAGAGGCACTAGTTTTACCCACAAAAGGCATCAAAATGTTTTAACAGTTCAAAATAGACAGGCCAAGTAACAATTTTTCAAAAACAAAACAGTTTAATCAGATTCACTGTGTCCTTCAAGAAATTCATAATTTTTAAAGCATATTTTTCAGCCCTGACTTGTAACACACTTTGACCTCCACTTCTGCTTTGCCCTTGAATCAATCCGGACTGTGTGGAAGAGTGTCCCGACACAGAGGCACTGGCAATGTAGGTTCATATCCTGAAAAACATGCTGACTACACACAAGTAATAAAGAAAAAAGTTCCAAAGTGCAATGCATACTCCTGAGGTTGTAAAACCCACCAGTCTAACAAAAAGCACCAAGATACAGATGCCAAAGGCAGAATAAACAGAAACCAGCAGAGAGTCAATGTCACAGACCCTATCAAGTAAGTTTTATTTGTTGGATTGTTTTGCATTTGCGAGCTAAATAAATGAATTTAACAAGCTAGAAATCTCATCTCTGCCCTTAACAAAAATTTGCTTATTAGTGAAAATAGAATAGTGAGGTTGTGCTTAATAATAAGGAAAAAGTTACCAAATTTTTCTTATGGAAAAAAAAGAAATGGATAATATTTTTTCAAAAATATGAAGTAAACTTTGAAATAAAGACGTTAAGGCACTTATTTCAATGTTTTTAAGGGCAAAGTACGTTTTATATTTCTTGAAGAAATTCCTTCCACACAAATACAACAAACTTTGCTCCTCACAGAATAGTGTTGTTTTTTTAATCCTCACCTGAGGATATTTTTCCATAGATTTTTAGAGAGAGTGGAAGAGAAAGGGAAAGACAGACAGAAATGTCAATGTGACAGAAACACATTGATTGGTTGCCTGCTGCACATGCTCGGCCAGGGCCAGGGCCAGGGAGGAGCCTGCAACCCAGGTACGTGCCCTTGACCAGCGAGGGCACATAATAGATCTTTATTGTCAAACCTAACAACTGTAAGTTACCCAAACAGGATTACTTACAGAATGCTTAATCATTTGTTACTCTACAAATACGTAAGGAAATTAATTAAATGCAATCAGTTTTCCAGTACTATTGTTTTAACTACAGTTAAAATAGAAAAAAATAAGCGTACTTCTCATATCCAGTATTATTATTTCTATATTGAAGATCACATTTTCCTTTTTAACTGATGCTGAATGAAAAATTCATTATTTCAAAAATTCAATTAAAAGTTTCTCCAAATCTGTTTTATTTAAGAAATAAGTTGACAGAAGCAAAAGCAACTTACTAATATACCACAAACAAAAATAAAACAAAAAAACACACAACAAACTAATTCTGCGTATTTGATTATAATGTAAATCAATAAAAATTCAATTAAATATTTCATGCTGCATAGAAAATAGGCTGTTCTATTTCCCTTTCAAAATATGCAAGCTGACTTTTAAATCACAATGTGTTACATGTTTTACGTACATAGGTTAACTATGGAAATATTTTCATAAGGCTTGAAGCTAAATATTAGTGACTCACTATTAAGATGTACAGAGAACCTGAAATACCCTGCCTACAGCTATCTTAATAGAATTGTTAAAAATTACATAAAAGCTTGAGAACTAATAAAATTAATGCACCAGATATGACACAGCCATCAAACAATCCTTAAGTTCCAAAAGAGCAAAGCATCCGAGAGCTAGTCTAGGAATGAATGAGCCTGTGTACTTTTAAAATATATTACAGAAAATAAAGATAATGGAAAGATGCTCCCTTTTAATGTAGAGTAGTGAAACTGATTTTTACAGCACTTTGAAAACCTGGTCACTAAACAGATATACAAGATAAAAATAAACATGCATCCCCCCATCCGAGCCAAGTAAGTCATTTCAGATTTTCTTTTTATAAATGATTAAAATATGAAAATATTTAACTTAGAGGAACTAAGTGCTGTGAACTTTATAATTGTCATTTGGTTCTTAACGTTGAAGACTGCCTCACAGTTTCACAAGTAACTGCACTTTTGTTTTACAATACGCCTCCCTGTAAACAGAGGTGTATTTAACAGAATCTGCACATGTTTCCAGAAACTGTAGCTCGTTTTAGTGTACGTATTTTTATTCTGATAACAATTTTTTACCTAATATTTTAGTACAAAACATGTGAATAGGTTATAAATCCCATATTTGTATTTTTTAAAAACCTGATCAACATTCTTATAAATGTCTGTTTTAAAAAATATGTAGGTACAGAGAGTTACTATTTATGATGATTAAATTCATATCAAGTTTATGAGCATAAGTGACAAAAGCTAACCACTTAAAAGTCATAAAGTAATAAAATGCAGTATCATGCACTATGTAAATTACTAAGAAAGTGCTCACTTATATAAGCAGCAGATGAGAACAGTATCATGGAAAATCTGGATATACCTTTATATATATCCTTAAAAATCACTTTCCTTTATGCCATTTCCACTTTAATTTAAATGCCACATATTTTTAGCTAACATTTACGTTAGCTATTTATTGTAATATTTCAGTCCTATTATAAAGCATAAAATACCTTTAGAAACTGCCTTGAATGTAAGAATAATTCTTCTTCTATAATTATATCATATTAAGTATATATTAAATGTTATGTTTGAGAAATATACTAAGACCTTGAATATATTCAAATTCAAGATCAATGTTATGATAAAATAAAGATTTCTGAGGAAATTTTTATAATAGTTTGGAAGGTGAAATCTTAAAAGACCATGTAACAGTAAGAAGAATCCCTGGCTGGAACACTGCAGAGTGGTAAGCTATAACATTTACCAAAGGCCAGTGATGCTTCATCTTCTATTCCCCAGAGAACTCTGGGTCCAGTTAACGGCAGGAGAGGAAAAGCAGCAGCAACACTTCCAATGTCCAGATTCTGATTTCCAAAAAGACCCCCATTGGTAGAAGAAAATCAACATTTTACTTCAGATGGAATAGGTCTCTACTATTTTCAAGACTGAAAGGATATCACAGTGTTGATTTTATATACAAAGTAGGACCTGTTCCAATACACTCTAGTGAAATAATTCACATATGGAGAATAGTTAATTTTGACCTCATGACAAAATCGCCCATATTTTGAGTAGGTTAACTTGTCACCCTCTTCACAAACCACCTATCAAGAGATATGAAACATAATATTAAAAGCTTATTAAGGTTACAGTATAAATAGAAGCAATGTACAAATGATACATTCATATGGAAATATATTATGCTAACCATGAACTCACATTAGTCAGTGAACATCTCATACTGTTTAGCCAATAGAAGCCTCTTCATTAAAAGAATAACCACATACACTAAACTTTTGAGCATCCCATTGAGATTGAGAAACCAGTATAAAGTGTTTCTAATTTTTAAAATATTTAATTCTAAAATGTAGAAGGCTCTATCTCCATAGTCCATTAAGAACCTTATCATGGCTGAGAAATGAACATCATGGTGGGGCAAAAGTAGGTTTACAGTTGTTCATGTAGAAAATAATACGCTAACAGAGAATACAAGAACACACTCTGTTTCCGCATACTCACAACTGTAAACCTACTTTTGCTTAACCCTGTATTTTTAAAATTTTGATTTGAGAGAGAAACATCAATGTGAGAGAGAAACATCAATCGGCTACCACTCATACGCACCCAACTGGGGATTGGGCTGCAACCTGGGTATGTGCCCTGACCGAATATCGAACCCACCATGTTTTGGTGCACAGGGCAACACTAACCAACTGAGCCACAATGGCCAGGGATATAGTCTTAATGTATATTCAAACATTTTTCCTGGCGTAGAACTGACAATTACCTAGTAAACAAGTAAATTTTTATGACTTATCCAGTGCACAACTTTACATTCCCACCTTAATGATGTTCACTAAGATAGCTTAGCTAGCTTGAAGGATTTTCTATAATAAAACACTAAATGTTATTCTAATGCCAACAAAAAATGTCAGAGAGCCAACTTTAAGAGTAAAATGATAGATTAGCTTTAAGTCCATGCCTGGCATTATATGCAAGTAACCTGGTCTTGGAGCATAAAGGTAGCCAAAAGCAGAATAAAAAGGCTCCAGATAGCAGATAGCAATAGAGTAATTACTGAATAACTGTGATGTTCACTAAAATTCCATCTTGTCACCAATTAAGCAAAAGATCTCAGATATTAAGTACCAACAGAGAAAATTCAAAATACATGCAGCAGAAAACAGAAAAAACAGGTTTATATTACAAATTTAAGAGGTCTTGAAGAAAGAGAAAGATGAAAATCATAAAAACTAATTTCTCGCTCTAATCGGTTTGGCTCAGTGGATAGAGTGTCGGCCTGCGGACTCAAGGGTCCCGGGTTCGATTCCGGTCAAGGGCATGTACCTTGGTTGCGGGCACATCCCCGGTGGGGAGTGTGCAGGAGGCAGCTGATCGATGTTTCTCTCTCGTCAATGTTTCTGGCTCTCTGGCCCTCTCCCTTCCTCTCTGTAAAAAATCAATAAAATATATTTAAAAAAAACAAACAAAAAAAAAACCTAATTTCTCACCTCCAAACTGGTCTGATAAGACAACTGATTATTTAGGAAAGAATGGAAAAAATATTGGCCGCAACCTGAATAGAATGTGCGCTCCAACCTAGAATGATCTAATGACCTAATAAACTTTTCCTAAGGTCCTCCACACTCAACTTTCCCAGGAGTAAAGGTACCCATTCCAGACAACGCTCCCCGGCCAGTATTGTTAATTGCTACACATACAGTATACACTACAGACTGAGAGGTAAGATAGTAGATATGTATCAGATGACAATAAATTTCTCAACCTAAGAATGTAACATTGCCCAGCTGGTGCTGCTCAGTGGTTGAGCATTGGCCCATGAACCAGGAGGTCACGATTCTTTTCTCGTTCAGGGCCCATGTCAGGGTTTCAGGCTCAATCCCCAGTGGGGGGCTTCCAGGAGGCAGTTGATCAATGTTTCTCTCTGATCAATGTTTCTATCTCTATCCCTCTCCCTTCCTCTCTAAAATCAACAAAAACATATTTTTTTAAAAAGGACATTGCAACCAGCTCCTCTTTAGATTATTATGAGTTAAAATCATTCAAATTATACCATCTTTTTATTTTTTAATGCTTTTTTCCAGTATTATTTTGTATCGGTTTCAGATGTATCTCATGGTAGTTAGACAATTATGTACTTTAAAAAGTATTCCCCCTGATATTTCTAGTACCCACCTGGCACTGTACATAGGTATCACAATATCACTGATTATATTCCTTACGCTGTACTTTATATCCCTGGCCATCTTTTGTTTATAAATGTTGAACATGCATAAGTATAGGTAATAAGAAATCCACGTATTGGAAAAAAATCCGCCCCCCAAAATATCCAACTTTTCTTTTGTATATTGAAAAAATACTTCACACTACTTTTAGTAAGTTCTGCCCATTGTTAAATAACTTTTAATTATATTCTTAGCTAAGTTCCCAAACTAAGTTTGAAGATTACATGTTTAAATAAAGTCATTTTTCTCAAAAAGAATTCATTTCCAAATGGTTACTTACATGGCCATTTGCAATGTCTAATAAATCTTTAACCCTACAGCCTCTCATGGTTCCCACCTCATTGCAGATAGCATCCTCTACAATTAGGTAATTAGCTTTGTAAGATGTCAGTATTTTATAAATATCCTCAGCAGATCTCTTTGAATAGATTTGATAGATCTGAAAGAATATCATTAAAACAGTTATGTTAAAGGACATATAAAACTTTTGTTAAGCAAAACTATACATTAAGCATCCACTATTCTCTTTCTTTCTCTATTATGTTCTTAGGACTGAGTACTATCTGTGGAAAAGATATTCACTGAAACTTGATTCCTGCCTTCAGGAAGTTCATAAAAGTACTAGAGGCCCGATGCACGGATTCTTGCACCGGTGGGATCCCTCAGCTTGGCCCGTGGGGATCAGGCTGAAACTGGCAGTCTGACATCCCCCAAGGGGTCTCGGAGTATGAGAGGACACTGTGCAAAGTTGCTGTCACTCGGTAGCTCCTATGTTGAGCGTATGCCCCCTGCTGGTCATTGCACGTCATAGCTACCAATGGGTCTGCTGGTCGGCCAGTTGGCTAGTCACTTAGGCTTTTATATATATAGATTCCTATGCAATTAGGCATTTGTATATCTTCTTTGGAGGAATGTACATTCAAGTCTTTTTTATATTCTTACATTTTTATTTACTTACTGATTTTAGAAAGAGAGAAAGGGAGGAAGGGGACGAGAGAGGGGAAAGAGAGAGAGAGAGAGAAACATTGATTTGTTGTTGCACTTACTTATGCACTCATTGGTTGATTCTTGTATGTGCCCTGACCAGGATCAAAACCACAACCTTGGCATATAAGGATGATGCTCTAACCAACTGAGCTACCCAACCAGGGCTACATTCAAGTCCTTTGCCCATTTCCCCCCAGCTTTATTGAAATATAATTGACATATAACATCATGTGCATTTAAAATATACAATGCACTGATTTAATATATTTAAATATGGCAAAATGATTACCACCATAATGTTAGCCTCCATTATGTCACATAATTACCATTTCTTTTTTTGTGGTAAGAATATTTAAGATCTACTCCCTTAGCAACTTTCAAGTATAAAATACAGCATTAATAACTATAATCAACATTTCATACATTAGATCCCCAGAACTTACTCATCCTATAACTGGAAGTTTGCATCCTTTGACCAACATCTCCCAATTTCCTACCTCTAGACCAGCGGTTCTCAACCTGTGGGTGGCGACCCCTTTGGGGGTCGAACAACCCTTTCACAGGGGTTGCCTAAGACCATCGGAAAACACATATATAATTACATATTGTTTTTGTGATTAATCACTATGCTTTAATTATGTTCAATTTGTAACAATGAAATTGGGGGTCACCACAACATAAGGAACTGTATTAAAGGGTTGCAGCATTAGGAAGGTTGAGAACCATTGCTCTAGATCCTGGTAAGCACTCTATGTTTTTATGAATTCTGCTTTTAAAAATTCAATATATAAGTAATATCATACAATATTGTCTTTCTCTATCTGACTTATTTCCCTTAACATAGTGCACTCAAGATTCATCCCTGTTGTTGCAAATGGCCTTTGCCCATTTTTAAATTAATTTGTCTTTTTATCATTGAGTTGTGATAGCTCCTTTAATCTTTTATATTACCATGTATCAGAGTATTTTATACTCATTCTATACATAAAATAAAGTCAGCAAGGTTAAAAATAACTTGACCATTGTCACAAAATATTGAATGAGCCAAGGATGCCTAAAATTTAAGTTTTGATTTCGTGGCATTTTTCATTTCGATTTTTCTCTTTAATTTTTTTTTTTTTTTTAAATTGGTTTTAGAGAGAGAGGAAGGGATAGACAGATAGGTAGGTAGGTAGGTAGGTAGGTAGATAGATAGATGACATCGATTTGTTGTTCCACTTATTTAGGCATTCATTGATTGATTCTTGTATGGGCCCTGACAGGGGATCTGCCCTAATCATTAGGTCATGTCTCCAGACATTGCCAAATGTCCCCTAGGGGCATACTGTCCCAGGTTTGAGAATCACTGGCACAGGAGAGCATACAAAAATCAGTCACATGTCATGAATTATAGATATGTGTCTAATTCAAATGATATGGTCTCTGAACATTAAGTAACTAGATACCATTCTAATGTTATACTGAGTATAATAGCCCACAATGAAACATAAACCACAGTGTCATAGATTTTTACCTTAGAAATACAAAGTGTATCAAGACATTAATTGACTTCTTTCCTTCAATATGATATTATGTAGCTTTTTAAAAATTAAAGCTAATTAACCCTTTTAAAATTATTTGGATTTTCCCAGCTAATCAGGAACATATGCATCATTACAAAACTATGCTAAAATAGAGTGATGTTAAAAAAGATCCAAATATAGAATCTAAAATGCCTTACATTTTCGTTTCTCTTGAGAAGATCATCATCATTGTAAAGAGGCAAGCTTGTCACCATCCAACCAGTGCATAATTTAATCGCACCCATTAACTGTGGACTCCCTGCAAACACAGCTGCAACTGGAGCTTGCCTTCTGCAAAGAACCATAGAGATTTAGACACTGGAAAGGTAAATATACTATTTAGATCACTCATTATATAAACTCTGAAATACCAAGCAACTTACAATATATTTTATACTTATGTTTCAATGTCAGCCTTCACTTCATTTTATTTGTGGATCCATTCAAAAATAAACTGCGCACCTACTATGTATTAGGAATGATTCTGAGTGCAGAAGATACAGAAATTGTTTTAAGGAGGGGGGTGGAGATAAGATCTTTGCTTGAAGACAATCTATACACATAAAAGCCAAGTGACCAGAACGACCAGAACGACCGATCACTATGACGCACACTGCGACCAGACAACCGGCCCAATCTGGGGCAGCCCCTCTCGCCAGCTGGCCCTGACCAGATCAGGGCCGGGGCCAGCCAGACAACCTCCCATGGCCCCTCACCTCCCCTGCAGGCCCGGCCCGATCGGCCCCCATGGGGGTGGGTCGGCTGGACCCCACCTGTGCATGAATTCATGCACCAGGCCTCTAGTAAACATATAAATCAGGTGGCACATGGACAAGTCAATTCCATGCTCTCAGCTGATACCTACCCAAACCTAGACATGTGAGAGAGGCCATACCAGACTATCCAATCCCAGCTGAGCTGGCCTGGACCAGAAGAATCCTCCCAACTCCTAACCCTCAAAATGGGGCAAAATAGTAAGTTTATTGTTTGTAAGCCACTAAATATTGTGGTAGTCTACTATGCCATAAAACTAACCAACACAAACTAATTTTATTTTCAGAAATTACTAAAGGTCTAATTCTAGAGAGCTTGATTCTTACTGTTAGACTGTCTCCTCATTGTAATTTTACAGCTAATCTTCATGAAATTTTATTTGTGGAACCCTCTTGGTTGAGGATATGTCAGGTATTCCAGACCAACCCAGAGCCACTTTTTATGTTGATTTCTTGATTTGGGGTTTCCTAGATTAGTCAAGTATAATTTTAAACTACAAACCCTTGTTAATTCAGATCCATTGCTACAAATTCAGAGAGATTTTTTTTGACTAAGAGTTGAGGTCAAAAAGGTCATGCTTTCTTATCATTTTTCTCTACCACCGGATGGATCTTTTGCTAGTCTATCCTTTCACTGGTAGTGTTACCCTCTGAGAGCCCCTTAGTTATATATGTGTATATTGGGGGAGGGGAAAAGTTGTCTCAGTTATAAGTCTCTGCTTCTATAGGCCAAAAATCATATCTCTTATATTGGGTGGGCATTAAAATTGAAATAAAAAATCTTGGTAAACTTAATTACCAAGACTAGCAATCTACCATTTGTCCAACTCCAACCTCGGGTGAAAGAAACACCCTTTTGACTGTTCAAATAAAAGGTATTTGTTCCTTTTTATTCACATTTCTAGGTGTTTGATGGCAGAGAGTCTCAAATCTCAGACTTATCAATGCTATATTTTCAAAGGAGATGAGTTCATTTAGAAAATTAGAATTGTAAATCCAATAAAAAATTAAATATCCCTAAAAATACAATGTAAAATTTTATGAGAATTTGAAAAAACATTATTATTTACCCTGAATCCATAAGATAGCACACAATGATTAATTAATAGTTTAACAACAGTATTGGGCAGTTCAGTTCTTACTTTATCCAGGTCATAAGTTCCACTGTATCTGGGTCATAGAATTCTTGTAGTTCAGTTAATTCTGTCATTAATCTTGGAAAAAACTAAAATGCAAAAACAAAACCCACCCAAAGAATAAGTATCTAGAAAGTCTAAAACTTTTCCAGAGTATTTGAAAAGAGACTTTTTTACAAACAATTTTAGAATACTGTTCTGACAGTGACCTGCTCAGTTTTCTCAACCCAAATCAACTATTTTATGGTTAATTTACTGTCTAGACTCAATAAATAATTTTATAATTACCAAGCAATTACCAGTTGTGTCTTTTATGCACACACATCATAAATAATTTAAATTAATTAATTTGGGGTCAAATAGTTCACATGTTTATTGGCGATTAGTTTCATGCTATATTATAATTTATATTATTTTATAAATATTTACATTTTGGAGTTGCCAAAATACTTTTTAATATAAACACTGTTTATTCAGCAATTTCCTTTACCAATTATAAATTGAATTAATGACAGTATTAGACAACAGAAAATTGCATCAGATGGTATTCTAAAAATATTTTAGCTTTTCTATCCTGTTCTTAATGATAAAAAAAAATTAAGTATTACTAAGAATACCAGACTTTATTTTGTTAGAACAGTATTTCAATATAAATATCCTACACACATATCTACCTTATAGATAAAGTTTTAATACAAAAATCTGATTTTCTTACCTCCTTCCATAAGCTGAGACCTATTATAGTGGGCACAGCCATACTCAGAATCAGAGCCTAAAACATGAAAGCAAAAGGGTTATGAGTAAATACATTTCAGATTGTACTTTAAAGTACTAGACACTGACTCTATGACCAAGCACATATCAATAATTACACAAATTTAAGTCAGCATGAAACCTAGCTCATGAAGTGAGATGGCTGAAGACCAATGATAAATTTAAGACATATTAAACTGGAGGTAAAGTGAAACATCCATATTTACTATATAATTTTAAGGCAGAACATAAAAACAGTAACACATGTATTTCAAATAGCAGATCAATATTTGACAATTTTGACAGGAATTTAAGTTATGAAGAGTACACAAAGGTTCCTGAACAGCTACCTAAAACACTAACAACAGTAACAAAAACACAATGAAATAACACAGGCAAAATAGCTAACATACATCAATATGCTAGCACGCTAAAATAAAAATGTATAAATTCCTTGGGAAAAAATTGGCAAAATACAACATGACTAATATTAAAGGTAATTACTCATCATCTTTCTTCCCAAGTCTTTCTCCTTACTGTCCCGTGCTCATTGGTGACCCCATGATCCACAGTCATATAAACCAGAAACATAGAAAACAATGATTTCTCCCTTTTCCTCGTTCTCCCACACTTGACAGGCACCAAGTCTCATTAATCTTCTAACTATTCTTTTCACTCCAGTATAGCAGAGTATGAATTGAATGGGCTTTGCAATAAGGAAAACCTAGGTGTGAATCTTGATGTCCAGCCGTATAAGCTATGTGACCGCAGGAAAATTATTTGACCGGTGTAGGCTTTAGTTTTTTTGTCTATAAAATACTGATAATAAAACTTAGCCACTAGGTGTTTGTAGGGGTTGAGTAGCATGTGAAATGCTTTGAAAAATACCTGACACATGTTGAGCACTCAATGAATTAAAGCTTTTGTTACTTTCATCTACCATGGCCTGTTCCTGAGTGACAGCATCTTTCCTAGCTCCAGTCTGTCACTGTAAGTCTATCATTCACGGAACTGGAAGGGTGAGCTGAGAGAAAACTGTAAGTCTGTCTCTCACACCCCCGCCTGCAATCTCCATGCCTTCCTACTGCCTCTAGGGTAAGACCAAGTGCCACAGCAGGACACTGAGAGGCCTCCGAGACCTTATCCTCTTCAACTTCTCCAGCCTCATTTCTTGACCCGCCCTACCTCGCCTCGCATTTTATGTGCTAACAAAACTAAATGTACCATGCTTTTTCTTTTCCTCTGTTTTTATACTTTTGATTACATCATTCTTTGCCTATCTGTGTTTATTCCTTCTACCACAAATACCCTTTCTTTCCCCTTTATTTGACTAATAACTTAACATCTTTCAAATGTCATACTAGAAAGTCTTAAAAACTGAATAAAGTTTCCCTTCTCTGTGTTCCAATAGCATCAATAATTTTTTTAAATATGTTTTTATTGATTTTTCGATAGAGAGGAAGGGAAAAGGAGAAAGAGATAGAAAAATCAATGAGAGAGACACATCAATCAGCTACCTTCTGCATGCCCCTACTGGGGATGGAGCCAGCAACCCAGGTATGTGCTCCTGACTGGGAATTGAACCCGGGATCTCTTGGTCCATGGGATGACACTCACCCACTGAGTTATACCAGCCAGGCGCATCAATATTTGTTATTAGCTACTTTTATGATCAGGAGACCATAATCTACATGATGAAATTAATCATGTTTTATTTATCTGTATACTCCAAGCACATTGCACACAGCAGGCAGTATAAGTGCTCCATTCACACTGAAAACATACCAGAGATCTCAATCAAACCAAGATATAAAAATTAATTCTTGATAGCCTCACATCACTTTCTTTACCTTTCATGTTTTAAGTTGTCTGAATTAAAATGCATTTCTTTTACACTTAGAAATTATTAAAAAATGTTTTTCACAGGATCTCTTTCTACCCATAAGTTATAATGTGACTTATTCATGCTATTTCAATGGTATTCAATGTGGTTTCCATTTACATTAACTAGAAGAGAAACAAGTACTTAACCTAAAATAACAATGACTCACCAACAATACTGGGTGTACAGTGCGTAATCGAAGCCACTTGAAAAGTGTCGTCCAAAGTTCAGGAGAACATACACCAAATGCTGCTAACATGCATACATAAGGAGTCCAGAGGTATTTCAAGCTGGAAAAGACAAAAGGAGTCACATATGAGATATCCTATGAACATCAATACTACAATCTGGTTTATAACTCCAGGAGATATCATATACACTGAGTTATATTATAGAATATCCCCTCGAACACAAACTCTCTGCTCTAGAGATTAGACCATTATGCAAATCCACAGATTTCTCTGTATCCAACCCTTGCTCGCTATTTTATTGCAAGAGCCTATAAATTAACATCTCTACCTTTAGACTCTCCTCCAGCTCAACCAAATGCCAAATGAATCTTCTTCAAACATAACTATAAAACACTTTCTGTTCAAAATTCTAATGGCTCCCCAGTGCCTACTGAAATAAGTGAAAACTCATCTAAATAGTTTTCAGGACCCTCTAAAGTATGGCCTTGACTTGCCTTTCCAGTTTTTTCTCCTACTACATCTCTAAATATGATTAGTGTTCCAGACAGTTTGAGGAACAATCTCAATGTTGCCATCCCATAATGCATATAAGTTTTTCCCTCCCGGTACAAATGTACCCCTCTGCCTTAGACTCTGATTCCCATGACAGCCAGACTCCTTGACGTCCACGCTCATCTTTCTTTCCTCACCTTCTACTCTATCTGATCACATCTCCCTTTAAAAAGCCCTCCTTCGGCTCTGAGTTGCAGCTCTCCCTACGGTCCCTCCACCACAGTCCCTACTATCCTCCTGCAGGCCCCTTGCCTCCATCTCCATTGCGTCTCTCCTCTAAATTCCATTGTGACGTCTTCTCAATGGCTTATTTTCTTCTAATCTTGTTTTGCTCAGATCCTTCTCAGTTTTTGCTGCCAGAGAGATCTTACTAACAAGCAATCTGATCCTGTCAAATTTTGGCATTAAACCACCTAATCTGGTCCCTATTTACTTTTCTAGACATTATCTCTTGCTACTTCCCTCTTACAGTTCCCAAAAAATACTTCTTCCCAAATTACATATACACAAGGAAAGTGACCGCCGGGCCAATCTCTATTTCTCTCTCAATGTTGTCACCCCATTTAGGAAACGCTCCTTAAACTGCACTCTCCTACCCACCTCCACAACTACTAGTAACTGCCCGTAAACTCCAGTTAGGTTAAAAAAAGTTTATAGACTTTGATTTTATTATATAAAGTTTTACACATGTATTCTTGAAAGTATCCACCAATTACCATTAGAAAGGACACTTCTTTACTTAAGAAAGTAGGTCAGCCCTGGATGGTGCGGCACAGTTGGTTGGCCGTCATCCATGTACTGGAAGTTGCCGGTTTTATTCCTGGTCAGGGCACATGCCCAGATTGCAGGCTCAATCCCCGGTAAGGGGCATGGAGGAGGCAGCCAAAAAATGTTTTGCTTTCACATCAATGTTTCTTCTCTCTCAATCTCTCTCTCTCTCTCTCTCTCTCTCTCTCTCTCTCTCTCTCTCTCTCTCTTTCTCTCTCTCTCTCTCTCTTTCTCCTCCCTTCCTCTCTCTCTAAAAACTCAATAAAAATATCATCGATTGGCTGCCTCCTGCATGCCTCCTCCTGGGGATCAAGCCAGCAACCAGGGCATGTGCCCTGACCAGGAATAAAACCAAGACCTCCTGGTTCACAGGTTGATGCTCAACCACTGAGTCATACCGGCCAGGCAATGAAAAATTATATTTTTTAAATAGGTCAAATAAAGTACACTTACCCTTCTATAATCATTGCCAGAGAACCAAAAAAAATAGTGTGAATCACATGATAAATTATTTCTGGCCTTTCTCCAATCCGTCCATCTTCCAGAGTAACAGTCTCTTCCAGGGACTCACCGCTACAGAAAGGAAATATGTTTTTTACTAAAATAAATATCTGAAAACTAAAAGATCTTAAATTTCCTCATAAAGAGAAATATCAGTAGTTCTGATCATTTGAAAGTATATTCTGCTAGTCCAATACTAACTTTCCTATCTCCAAGTCTTTGAAAATGGCTTTTAGAACCTAAATGTCACTGACTCAGTGAAGACTAAAAATGAAAGGTCAGAAATATAATTTAAAAAGTGTTTTAGGATCCTTTCCAAGATCAATTATCACTCACTAATAATTGCTAAACCAATATAGTTAAATCATAATTTAAACAACTAAGCTCTCAAAATCAAGATACCACACACAATCCCTTTTCAAACATGATAAACGTTTAAAGAAATAATCAAACTTTATACTTAAAATCACTTATACTACTAGCTTCATTGAGGTTAAATAGAAAAAATTATTCTTATGTTAAGTAAAAATCTGAGTAAATTATCAAGTTTGTGAAAGCTTACCTGATTACTTAAATATTACTCCTAAACTAAATCTGGATATTACATGTTTAGATTTATAAACTTAAATTTTATCTGGTTAACTTATATTTTTTACATGCTGATGAAGAGGGAATGAAATTAGAAGCTCTAAAACAAATACACAAATATTGGAGGAATATTAAAAATAAGTATTTTATATACTATATTTCCATAATATATTAGAAATGTGATTGATTCTCATTGGTACTTACTTAATTCTCCTAAAAATAACTTGCATCATAGAAAGAAAACAAATAATTAACACTAAAATATAGAAAGGTAGTAAAGAAGACTGTGTCAATCGCAAAAAAAATTCTTGAGATGGTGCCTGTAGGGATTCTTGACATAGGAGCCAATTCATTGTGAAATTCCTATAGAAGATAAAAATCATATTAAAATAACATGTGTTTTAAACTACTGACCATAATTTTTTTTTATCTCAGTAGAAACTTAGATAAAACAAAACACATTTCTTAAATCCATTCATTTATAACAGCCAGACCCCACCCTTTACAAGTGAAGACAATAGCATTTATGACATCTCCTCAACAAACTGCTCCAGTAAATGTAAAACTGTGGCTTTCTGTTCCCAAGGAATGCTACCATCTCTAGAGTCCAATACAGTTTTAAGGGAGTTCCACTTTCTATTTGTATCTGGAAGACAATAAAAAATTCAGCTGTCCAACCTCTACATCTGCACTATCCACTATGTTAACTATTAGGTACATGTGGCTATTAGCTCTTGAAATGTGGCCAATATATACCCTGGATTTCAAAGATAAAAAAAGCATTTAAAAATACAAGATATGTTAATTTTTAATTGTTTATACATTAAAATAATACTTTTGATCTGTTGGATTAAATTAAATACATTACTAAAATTAAATTTACTTTTTCTCTTTATTTTTTTAATATGGCTACTAGAAAATTATTTATGTGGCTCACATTATTATTAGATAGCCCTGGTTTTAACAAATGTAACTCAACTGGTACCTCTTTTTTTAAAAAAAATATTTTATTGATTTTTACAGAGAGGAAGAGAGAGCGATAGGTATAGAAACATCGATGAGAGAGAAACATCAATCAACTGCCTCCTGCACACCCCCTACTGGGGATGTGCCTGCAACCAAGGTACATGCCCTTGACTAAATTGAACTGGGGACCGTTCAGTCCGCAGGCCGGTGCTCTATCCACTGAGCCAAACCGGTTAGGGCTGGGACCACTTTTAAAAAGAGGTATGTAATTACTAGGACAGAAACCATAAAATTTGATATGTAAACCTTTTGAGCTATGAGAAACAGGATAACCTTTTTTTTACCCTAAGCTAAATATGAGCAACAAGACGCCCAATTATATGTAGTTTTATCTGCATTCCCATTCCCAATCCATCAAGTTGTGTGTTTTTTTTTTAAATTCCATTTTATCCTTAATCCCTAGCCCTGGGGAAGGAGTTAAGAGATGGAGTGATGTTCAGGAGTGCTCATGGACTCATGGAGAATGCCTGCTTCAAAAATCACTGGATTTAGAATAATAGATTAATGTTTCACAATGTGTTAAACAGTAATACAGCTGTATCAAAGAAGCTGCCATCAAAATACCTTGCACTTACAAAAAATGCACATTTTAAAAATCTGCCTATTAAAGTTATTAATTCTATAATGGCCCAATTCAAATCCCAACTTAATGAGTATTCTTTCCATACCCCCAGTCTTTCCTTCAGCCTTTCCTTCTCAATATTCCCACAGCACTTTACTTATCCCTCAATTATAGTCCTTAATGCAATCTGTCATATGTTAGATTGCAGTCATTTTTTTAACCCCCAGAGTACCTGGCCTAGTTCCTGCATATCCAATAAATATTTATTAACATTTCATTAGTGGTTCCTGAAAGTCTGTGTCAACAGAAATGTTTCCTAAAATACTGGTGAACTCCAAATCCTAATATCCAATTCGCACACTTCAGCATAGGGCATTTACTGTTTATACCAGCCATGTTATTATTTGTACAAAAACTATTTAATGAAAAAAAAGAAATTATTTAATGAGATGGCAATATTCTTAAGGACAGGAACCATATCTTATTCTTTTTTTTAAAATAATGTATTTTTACTAGAGGCCCAGTGCATGGATTCGTGCACCGGTGGGGTCCCTTGGCTGGCCTGCGCCCTCTTGCAATCCGGGACTCCTCAGGGGATGTCAGACTGCTGGTTTTGGCCCAATCCCCGCAGACAAGGCTAAGGGACTCCCCCAGTACATGAATCCGTGCACCGAATCCATGCACCAGGACTCTAGTATGCATAAAAGATCTTTGGTTAATCTCTTCCCACCCTTTCCCCACCTTCCCTCTGAGATTCCTCAGTCTGTTCCATGTTTCCATGCCTGTGTGTTGAACATCTGCCCCCTGGTGGTCAGTGCGCATCATAGCTACTGGTCAAATGGTCACTTAGGCTTTTATATATATAGATTAATTTCAGAGAGGAAGGGAGAGGGGGAGAGAGAGAAATATCGATGATGAGAGAGAATCATTGATTGGCTGCCTCCTGCATGCCCCCCCACGCCCCCGCTGGGGATCCAGCCTGCAACCCGGGCATGTGCCTTGACCCGAATTGAACCTGGGACCCTTCAGTCTGCAGGCCAACACTCTATCCACTGAGTAAAACCAGCTAGGGCCATGTCTTATTCTTAAAACACATAATACATTACCTTGTGAAATAAGTCTAGAAGCTGACATGCTGAATAAAGGGGCTGACATAATATCAACTAAGAAACAAGGACAAAAGCAGCCCTTAATCCTAGGCTCATTCTAGGGCAGTGATGGCGAACCTTTTGAGCTCGGCGTGTCAGCATTTTGAAAAACCCTAACTTAACTCTGGTGCCGTGTCACATAGAGAAATATTTTGATCTTTGCAACCATAATAAAACAAAGACTTATATTTTTGATATTTATTTTATATATTTAAATGCCATTTAACAAAGAAAAATCAACCAAAAAAATGAGTTCACGTGTCACCTGACACACGTGTCATAGGTTTGCCATCACTGTTCTAGAGTCTTCCAAGGTTAAAGGGAAAGAAAGTCAGTGAAAAGGGCAGAAAATTACAAATGTCTACAACCATTTTTTACTAATTGCTTGCTATGTATAAGGCCTACATATACCAATATCAGTCAGGGCTTTCTAATATAGAATATGGCCTTCTAAAGGATCATTTTATCTTAGACATACGTATATGGCTTACACTTCAGAAGACTTCTCCATTGTTTAAACCATGCCAAATATTTTGTTAACTGTGATATATCACAACATGAAATTACATGCACAGTATCTAAAATCCCATGTAATTGCAGCAAATGATAATAGGGTTCTGAGGTATATTATATGAATTAGAGAAATGTGCAGGTAAAATATATTTCCTGTTATGCAAATAGGCTCTGTTAGTATGTAAAATCATGTATTTCATTTTAGGCTTTAAAAAATGTATTTAACAAACAAACAAACAAAAAAGGCGAAACACTATACTTCAATTTTAAAAAACGTCAGCTTCTTAGCTGTCCTCTTAGTGCAGCAGGCAATGTGTCAGTCTCATAAAAAGTCAGCTTCTTCTCCAATCACCATTGTAACCCCAAGATGAGATTCTTCGCTATGAAATAAATATCTTACTGCCTAACCCCTTTTTTGTGCCCATATCCTTTTAAAAAATATATCTTTTTTATTGATTTCAGAGAGGAAGGGAGAGGGGAAGAGAGATAGAAATATCAATGATAAGAGAGAATGATTGATCGGCTGCCTCCTGCATACCCCACACTGGAGATTGAGCCCGCAACCCAGCATGCGTGCTAACTGGTTCATAGGTCGATGCTCAACCACTGAGCCATGCTGGCTGGGCCCCATACCCTTTTTCATGTAAGCGTTTTGCCAATGTAGTGGTTAAAATTACTGTAGTTCTTTATACATTTTAAATCTCTCATTTATTCTGACCTTAGACTACACCATTATTCCTTATCAAGGGAGAAAGTAACCTCTAAATACTTTGATGCCACTGAGGTTTAAGTATATCTAATTTCAAGAAGACCTAAATGAGAATTTTTTTAATGAGAGAAAACATTAATGTCAGATTTTTTCTAGATATAATATCCCAAATTACTTATTTTCTAAGTGGTATTTAGTTAGGTGTGTACTTCCTCCTTTGATTATTTTTGCTCTTTATCTTCTAAGTCAGTGGTTCTCAACCTGTGGGTCGCGACCCCTTTGGGGGTCGAACGACCCTTTCACAGGGGTCGCCTAAGACCATCGGAAAACACATATATAATTACATATTGTTTTTGTAATTAATCACTATGCTTTAATTATGTTCAATTTGTAACAATGAAATTGGGAGTCACCACAACATGAGGAACTGTATTAAAGGGTCGCGGCATTAGAAAGGTTGAGAACCACTGTTCTAAGTGGTAATAGAATTAGGGAAACTTAAATAATCTAAAACTTACTTAGTCATATTTAGTCCAAGTTTCACTTCAAGGAATTTCAGCATGTGCCCATTTTCTTTGTGTGGGACAAACGTCTGGAGGAGAAAAACACAAGTTACCACAAAAACAATTTGCTATACTTACAGCAATATGCTACTGTCCAATACGACAAACAGAAAACACAGCAAGACTACAAAACAAAAATATGAATGAAATAATACATGGTGTAACTGTGAAGCAAGGAGATCTACACGCATAAGTCCATCACATTACTTTACACTCAAGCCTAAAACTATAATGGGGTAGTAAGATTTCATCCTTCTCCCACCTGGCTTAAGTAACCTACCTACTCTTCCAAATACTTCTGACTCATCTCAGTTGATTCCATGTATTACTTAATGTTAACTGCCTAACAATGACTCTTTAAATTAAATGGAAAATAAAGCAGATGTATTTTTAAAGTATATCCAGAAAAGAACCATAATCCTATTTTCTAACTTAATATGCTAGGCATGATCATTGGTCAACTCAAAATTTTACTGTACAAACTATTAATTGCTATCTCATTACCCTCATTAAAATTTAGTCCACTTTATTTCATTATTTCATTTGTTCTGCTACATAAAGACACGGAGGTACTTACCTTTATTATAATATTCAATGTCACTGTCAGAGTACACACCAAATAAAAATTAATAAATTTCATTATTTTAGCTACGAAAGTTCTTTTCTTCACATTTAGCTGTGGGGGGAGGAAGGGAATAAAATGAACAAAGAAGTGAGGCATAAAAAATTAACAATTTAAAAATTCACCATAAGAATGATAAAAAGGCAATTCTAATTACCTGAAGGCACTTAACAAGCATTAAGGTTACTACTAAACTTAATAAAGGAGACACCAATAAAGCTGAATTCTCAAACTGCAGTAAATATCCCAGAAACAGAGAAAATATATAGATTTTATAAACTTCATGAACCTGTAGGGACAAAAATAAAATGAATAAGAATAAAATGAATTTTATTGTACATATTTTCATTAGTTTTGTTTAGATTTTACTATAATTACAAGATAAATGCTCTATTATCATTTAGGACAATATTGTACAAATGTTCAATCCGTTTTTTAATGTTATGCTATGTAATTAATTTATCACATCCTTCTTAGAAAGAATTCTTGCAAACAAAGCTAAAGTTTTAAAACGAAGGACATCTAAGTCTGCTGGGAGAACCTTCTGTAGTCCCAGGCTCTGGCTTAATTTCACTTGGCTTACCTTGTTGTTAAAATGTGTCTGTGCAACATCAAACTGCATAAACCTTTAGCAGCAGTTCCTGAAATCTACCCAATGAAAATATACTGCCATAGCATGTAGGAACAGAGAAAAGTATTTTTGCATTTGGTCTATTTAACAAAGAGCATAAGAAAGTTAAATTCAGTGTCTTAATAGAAGATCTACCAGGAAAGTTATGTCGTAGTAGATTTATTTTTTAAAATTTGCCGAAACCGGTTTGGCTCAGTGGATAGAGCGTCGGCCTGCGGACTGAAGGGTCCCGGGTTCGATTCCGGTCAGGGGCATGTACCTGGGTTGCGGGCACGTCCCCAGTGGGGGATGTGCAGGAGGCAGCTGGTCGATGTTTCTCTCTCATCGATGTTTCTAACTCTCTATCTCTCTCCCTTCCTCTCTGTGGAAAATCAATAAAATATATTAAAAATAAATAAATAAATAAAAATAAAATTCAATAGTATAATAATTTAACCTATCCAAAAGTTAATTCATTTTATTATTATTTTAATCCTCACATGAGGATATTTTTTTCCATTGATTTTGAGAGACAGGAAAGGAAAGAGGGAAAGACAGAGAAATATCCAAGTGAGAGAAGCTGATCGATTGGTTGCCTCCTGCATACACCCTGACCAGGGCCCAGGCCTGGGAGGAGCTTGCAACCAAGGTACATGCCCTGGTCTGGAATTGAACCCAGGATCCTTCAGTCCACAGACCGACACTCTATCCACTGAGCCAAACCAGCTAGGGTGTAAAGTTAATTCATTTTAGAAAGGGAAAATTAAGACAAAGCATAGGGCCCAGCCGTGGCTCAGTGGCTGAGAGTCGATCTATGAACAAAGAGATCATGGTTTGATTCCTGGTCAGGGCACATGCCCAGGTTGTAGGCTCAATCCCCAGTGTGGGGCATGTAGGAGGCAGCCAATCAATGACTCACTCTCATCATTGATGTTTCTACCTCTCTCTCCCTCTCTCCCTTCCTCTCTGAAATAAATAAATATATATATATATGACAAAGCATAGGTGTTTAGGGTGGGGATGGGAAATAAAAAGGCAGAGTGTTAAAAGTAAAAAAATAAAAAACAAAAAAACAGCAAGAAAAAAAATCCCTGCCCTAGCCAGTTTGGCTCAATGGCTCAATGGATAGAGCACTGGCCTGAGGACTGAAGGGTCCCGGGTTCGATTCTGATCAAGGGCACATACCTTGGGTGTAAGTTCAATCCCCAGCCATGGTCAGGGCACGTGCAGGAGGCAACCAATTGATGTGTTTTTCTCACATCGATATTTCTCTTTGTTTTTCCCTTGCTTTTCCACTCTCTCGAAAAATCAGTGGAAAAATATCCTTGATGAGGATTAAAAAAAAAAAAAAAGAATGCTTATAGCAGCACATGAACTGAAAAAAACCCCTGAAATTTCCATCAACAATAGAATATATAAATATAAATGAATAAAATATAGCTCAGTACATCACCATGGATGAATCTCAAAGGCAAATCAGATAAAAGTACACAATGAATTACAGCTTATTTTTTTAGGAACACACAGCTAGCTGGTAAAAACCATAAAGAAAAAGAGGAAAGAATTAACAAGATTCAGGACAGATAGCCTCTGTTGGGGAGGGAACTGGATATGATTGGGGAAGAGTTAGAAAGAGGCTTCTAGGCTATTCAAATATTCGACTTCCAGGCCTGGGTGATCAAATACCCATATTATATTCTAATACTGTATATATATACACCAGACATACACTCTTTTGTACATGTCCTATATTTCACTTTTCTTTCTTTTTAAATAAACAAAAACAGAAGAAGGAGAAATGGCTAGAAATGGAGAGGAAGCACAGGGTGACTCTGTTTAAGCAGATCGTGTTTAAAGGCATTTCAAAGTGCATCTACAAGGATAGAGGAGAAGAATTTAGCAATCTTTGGAGAAGTATAAAATCAGAGACTATTAAAACATTTTAAAATAAAGCTTAAAAGTTAGGTGGTTTTAGATACAACACTATAAAAACATTTATTTCTCTGATTTTAAAGTCACAATTTCAAAATGCCATTAATACCTTATCACTTTGCTCCAGTGAAAAATTATCTAGCAAAAACAGAGATATTGCTTGCAGAAACAAGAGGTAGTGGCTGTACTCCCACATCATCATAAACATGTAAGTTGAAGCACTCATCAATAAGTAGCAAAACCTCTAGGGAAAACAAAAGAAAGAAACTAAATATCAATAGCATTATTACTATAAATATCTAGGAGGTTGTTACCTCAAAGTGGCAGCTCTGCTATTGGTTCAACGTTAAGCTAATTCTTGAAATTCTGTTTCCAAACAACATAATTATTAGTAAATCCTTACGTAAACAGTAAGATCTTAAAGCACTCTAGCGAGAAATCAATGACATCCTTCAAAGTTCAGCATCACACTGAGAATTTCAGAAGACAAAGGGAAAAATAAAATAAAATTCAGTACAATTTTCTTTCATCACCAAAGAGGTAAAGTAATATAAGAAAACGGTGGCCTTTACTAGATCTGGCTCTGGTGGGCTTTTGTTATTGCGGAAGTAACTCTTTTCACCCTAGAAAATACTTTCACTTCCATCCTGCTTCATATTTTCCTTAATTAGTATGTCGGCGTCGCACTCAGCCTATTGCACAGCTCGTAGAAAAAGCACACTGCTATTTAAATTTCTTCTCAGAAAAGCGTACTGTCCACCACAGAAAACTCTTAGGTGTTTTCCTCGGCTGAAGAACTAAACACAAGGATCTCATTGCCCTTGCGTGAAATGTGCCTGACTAAAACCAATTCTGTCCTTCCAGTGTCATCTCCCAAATGAGCCTTAGTGACAACCAAGCCTGTGAGAAATTTACTGTCCCTTCGCATATTTCTAACAACAGTCTGACCTCCAGGGATCTACTCTTTCATTCCCGATTCTTCCGTCAGCAATGGTGTCACATGGCTGTGTTCCCATAAGAACAGTGAAGGAGGTCAAGTCAGGAAACCTAAAGCATCCAGATCCAGCTGACTACACTCAGTGATATATTCCACAGCCAGAAATACCTCAGGCCATCAGCAGATACAAGAATTTTTCAGCATCCGGAAGGAGATTAAGACCAGAAGACAAAATGTACTAGTAAGAGATGAAAAATTTCCACCAGTTGTTCAAAGAATACCAACTGCAAGGCGGACTCAGGGTTGTAGAACACATGGGCTTCTGATCTTCCTATCACAACAGCTATAGGAGAAGGTGTTCTGAAATCTAATGTGGAACCACCAGAACTGCAATAGCCAGGCCTGAAACCACCATTCCCAGAGAACCCAGTTAGAGAAACCAATGAAGGCTCAGATCTAGACCCAGGCGACCTACTGGCCATTTGGAGAATGCTTTGGGGAAGCTGGAGAAGAGCGACCCTGTACTGAAACCCCTGCTAATTGTATTCTCAAACTACTTAAGAACATGTAGTGAAAATAAGACAGAAATACGTATCAAACACAACCCGGACAATTAACTAAGTTATTCCTTTCTCTGAACATTTTCAAAGATTCTCTGCACTCTTATATACTACTCCTAACCCTGCCCACTTCCTTTTCAACTATGCCTTTAGTATGAACCTTTTTACATGTAACGTAAGTGACACACTAAATGCATTTCAGTAATCAACCATAGGCATCTCTGGGTGGCTTCAGGTAACTGTACAAACTATCTGAGATTGGATAGCCTGATGCAACAGGACCATGAGATCTAGCCTCCAGAGTGAGAAATACGCTACTGCCAGCAATGAAAAGGATCAAGCTACTGACATGCAACGTCTTGGTAGGATATTAAGAGCATTAGGCTGAGGGAAAAAGACAATCTTGAAGGATACCATATAATTCCATTTAAAAAGAGGGACATCTGTAATATTCTCAACAACAAAGGTTTTTTTTACATAATAATTAAAAATAACATAATAATAAAACAATAAATTGAAGAACTGTTCTTCCCTACAAGGCTGCACAATCTATCCAGAGAATACTAAATGACAGACTCCCTGACTATTAAAGAAAATATTCTTGCCCTAGCCAGTTTTGCTCAGTGGATAGAGCGTCAGCCTGCGGACTGAAGGGTCCCGGGTTCGATTCCAGTCAAGGGCATATGCCTGGATGGCAGGTCGATCCCCAGTAGGGGATGTGCAGAAGGCAGCCAATCAATGATTCTCTCTCATTGATGTTTCTATTTCTCTCTCCCTTTCCCTTCCTTTATGAAATCAATAAAAATATATATTTTTAAAAAATTGCTGGAAAAGGTTGGGGGCGGGGGGGAAGGACCTATGTAATACTTTCAACAATAAAGATTTAAACATAAATTAATTAAATAAATAAATAACATAAAAAAGGAAAGAAAATATTCTTGCTGAGAGAGCTATTTATATAAACACAGCAAAACAAAATGTACAAATCTGAAATGTGTTAATGTTATTCTATATAATAAAGAGCTAATATACTAATTAGACTGAATGGCAGGACGACCTTCTGGACAACCTTCTAGGGCTGCAGCTGTGGCTGAGGCCCTTGTACAAATTTTGTGCATCAGGCCTCTAGTTTTACATAAAAAAGAAAATACTATAGCTATAATAAATGAAATTAAAAGTTTCCTATGCTCAGAGCATTTGTCAACACTGAAAGTAGAAGAGAACACAGTACATTTTTCTGAGATTTCAAAAAGAAACCTTATTTCTTTTTGAAATCTTAGAGTGTATCTTATTTCCCAGCCAATCAGGTTCAAGAGAGGCCTTTCCTTGTTCCTTATGATTTTTTTTCCAGGTAGGAATTTTAACCCAAGATAGGCAGATTGTCAAAAGATTGCTACATTTCAGTTTATGCACTTAAAATCTTTATTCTGAGTGAGTCTGTAAGCTTCATCTGACTACCAAAAGGATTTATGGAAACAACAACAAAAGAAAAAAATCTAAACTATCTGAGACAGTCTCCTGAAACTCACTAACCTACCTACACCTCATCACAGAAAACAAAGGTAAACAGAAAGATACGCAGTGCTACCATAATAGTTAATGTTGCTGTCATTTGTAGACACTTTTTATATTTCATTAATATTTCTTTAACTTGTGATGACTAAAGGCCATCAGTGCTACAGAAGTGAGAGAAATGGTAAAATAACAATGAGATTTTCAAAATAAGATATTATTCATATATTTGTCAAGTAACTGTACTAAAACAATATATCTTCTTTCTCCTAAAAATAATTTATTGTCAATTAGAATGCAAAATAACAGTGTTATTTATGTTAGGACTACCTAACTATATCATTATGTAGTAACTAAGCTTCATTGAATTTAACTCATTATTAGCTTTAAAAGTATGTACCAGATTTGTAATATGTCAGAATTGTGAGAAATCAATTTGTATCTTACCCCCCAAAACTATTTGTATGATTAATGAAAATAAATCCCAACTTATGACCAAAACAACAAAATTCTATCTCACCTCTCCATAAGTATTTAAGTTGCTTTTTAAATAGCCGGTAAGGGCAGCAATTTGGCATGCAAAATATGGTAGTGCCCAGTTTTCTCTTAAAGGAATGGAGTATTCAATTCTTGTTGTATCCATCCTAAAATAAACCACAGATAAAGAGCAAAAGAGCAAGACATTATATTTGTGTAACACTATACTTATCAAAACACTTTCCCACACATCTCATTGTTCTCCCTAACAACCCTGTGACGTAGACATAGACAGAGCCAACCACTCCATCAGCCCAGAATTGGGGAGCTTAATCCAGCAGTCCCTGTTCCAAAGGTTCTAGCACTGTCCAACTCACAAATTAGTGCAGTAAAATCTTTAAAACTCTGCTCCAGAAACACTTTCTGGGGAGGAGATGAAGGGATCCTTCTCCTCTAGTCACTATAGCACAAACTGAGTAGACTCTCTGCCAATTATTCTCTACCCCTGCACAAGCCTCCTCACTGCTGCCCTCCTGAACACCTGTGCTCCTCACTCTCTTCCCCTCCGCATGCTTGCAGTGAGGACCAGAAGGCTAACAGTGGGATGTGACAAAATCAAATGAAACCCACTTGTTCTCCCCAGTGACTGAGTCTAGCAGATAGCAGCAAAAAACAGCAGTTCAAAATATTTGTTAGGTCAAGTGGGATTCATAGACCTGCAGACACATTCACAGAGATGGGCATGCTCTGAGTTCAAGTTTGTGTCTAAAGAAACTCCAAAAGTGCAATTCCAAAAGCCAAGACGAGAAAGAAATGTATACACAGGGAGTCACTAATTTTCTCATGCCAGGAGAGCCTGGTGCTCCATTTAACAAAATGTATGCCAAACCTGCACGCATACAGGCAGACAGAGTGATGAGGGCCTGTCTGCAGTGGCTAAGGCGAGAGCCTGGCTGAGACTAAGAGAGTTTTTGCCCTCAGGACGATACACCCAGCAAGTGGCGGGCGTGCTTTGTGAGGAGACAGTTCATGAGCAGGAGTCGCTCAGGACCTGGACAGTAAGGAGAGCTGGGCAGACACTGTTCCCACAGCTATGGGCAGCATTTTATAGCAAGATGTACACAGTTCTTCACCTTTACTTTATAAACTTTTATAAAGAAGAGAGAAGAGAACGCATCTTTACTTGAAAAGTTCATTATCAAGAATTTGGGGGCGGAGTGGGGGGGAGAATGAACTGTCAAAGGGTGATTTGAAATTTTCTGCAATATTAAGCTGGTGCTTAATAAGTAATAATAAAGAAATTTCTAACATTTTGTCAGGAAACAAACAAATACCCTGTGTAGTCACTTTCCACAGTGTACCAGTTAGTCTATGTGATGAATAGTACAGGGGTGGGTAAAAGTAGTGAGTATGTGAAAGTTTATTCTTGTATTATTATTTATTCTTATATTATACTAGAGGCCCGGTACAAAAATTCATGCATGTGGGGGAGGGAGAGCAGGGGCGGGGGGGCATTTCTCAGCCTGGCCTACACCCTCTCACAATCCAGGACCCCTCAGAAGATGTCCAACTGCCAGTTTAGGCCCCGATCCCACAGGGATCCCGCAGGGATTGGGGCCTAAACTGGCAATGGGATATCCCTCTCACAATCTGGGACCACTGGCACCTAACTGCTCACCCTCCTGCCTGCCTGACTGATCGCCCCTAACCGCTCGCCTGCCTGCCTCATTGCCCCTAACCACTCTGCCTGCCTGCCTCATGGCCCCTAACTACTCGCCTCCCTGACTGATCGCCCCTAACCACTCTGCTTGCCTGCCTGCCTGCCTGATCGCCCTTAACCGCCTCTGCCACGGCCCCCACCGACACAGCTTTGTCCGGAATGACTTCCGGAAGGTCGTTCAGCTGTTTGGTATAATTAGCATATTATGCTTTTATTATTATAGGTATTTTTCCATACGTACAACTTTTGCCCACTCCTGTATATGGCAGAGTGATGGCGTACCATTCTGAGATTAGGTTATGAAACGTATCTGGCTTCCACTATGGCACACTCAATGCACACTCGTTGGATCATTTACTCTAAGGAAGCCAGCCAAGTTGTGACTAGCCCTGTGGAGGGGCCATGTGATGAGAAACGAAGGCCTTGTAGGCCAGCAAGGAAGTGAGGCTTCTTATAAACAGCCACAGGAGTGAACTTGGAAGTAAATGGTCCAGGCCAGTCAAGCTGTCAGATAATTGCAGCCCCAACCAACTCCTGACTGCAACCTCATCAGAGGCCCAGAACCAGAACCACCCAGCTAAGCCACTCCAGATTCCTGACCCTCAGAAACTGTATAAGAATAGCCCTGGCTGGTTTGGCTCAGTGGATAGAGCATCAGCCTAAGGATTGAAGGGTCCTGGGTTTGACTCCGATGAAGGGCACATGCCTGGGTTGAGGGCTCAATCCCCAGGAGGGGTGTGCAGGAGGCAGCCAATCAATGATTCTCTCTCATCATTGATGTTCTCTCCCTCTCTCCCTCTCCCTTCCTCTCTGAAATAGGTAAAAATATATTTTAAAAAAAAGAGCTCTGACCAGTTTGGCTCAGTAGATAGAGCGTCGACCTGCGGACTGAGGGGTCCCAGGTTTGATTCCGGTCAGGGGCATGTACCTAAAATAAATAAAAAACACCAAGAAACTTATATATTCTCTAACAGGTACTTTCTGACATAACAAGAAATCACTTTACCCCCCTAGCAACCACACCACATTCTCTAGTGCTATTCTTTTTTGCTCTCCTAGTACTTGTCTATACTGAAAGCAACCAGAGCTATCCTTAGAGAAATAGCTAATTCCAAATCTTTCACAGGGGATATACAAGGTCAGCCTGCTTGTTTAGTCAAAAAGCAAGAAAGCTTGCAAAGATTAATGAAGATGTGTCAAAAGAACTCAGAAGTCAGCCTGAAAAGACTCCTACTGACCAAAGTTGTGACAATTTGAGCAACTAAAAGAACAATCATGGTAATGTATTTAGTCCTATTGAGCCAATGGAAATTCCTAAGTAGGGAAAGATATTTAAAAAGAGAATACTGCCCTAGCCAGTTTTGCTCTGTGGTTAGAGCATTAGCCCTGGGACTGAAGGGTCTTGGGTTTGATTCTGATCAAGAGCATGTCCTTCAGTTGCAGGCTCCATCCCCGGCCCGATCAGGAGCCTGCAAGAGGCAACCAATCAATGTGTCTCTCTCACATGGATGTTTTTCTCTCTCTGACTCTCCCCCTCCCTTCCACTATCTCTAAAAATCATTGGAAAACATCCTCAGGTGAGAATTAACCAAAAAAAGAGAGAGAGGGAGAACAGCAGAAAAAGTTTCTTATCACAATTGGAGACAGCTACAACACACGCAGAAACTGATCAAGTGAAGTTAACCATTTGTCTGACTTTCAAATAGTAAATGAATTTAAAGACAGCCAAAGAACCCTGGCTAATAAAGAAAAACTCTACCTTTGGAGAATGAAGAAAATGCCCTAGCTGGTTTGGCTCAGTGGATAGAGCGTCAGCTTGCAGAACAAACGGTCCCGGGTTCGATTCTGGTCAAGGGCACGTATCTTGGTTGGAGGCTCCTCCCCGGCCTAGGCCCTGGTCGGGGCTCATACAGGAGGCAACCAATCAATGTGTTTCTCTCACATCAATGTTTCTTTCTCCTTCCCTCTCTTCCAATCTCCTTAAAAAATCAATGGGCCCTAACCGGTTTGGCTCAGTGGATAGAGCATCGGCCTGCGGACTCAAGGGTCCCAGGTTCAATTCCAGTCAAGGGCATATACTTTGGTTGTGGGCACATCCCCAGGGGGTGTGCAGGAGGCAGCTGATCGATGTTTCTCTCTCATTGATGTTTCTAACTCTCTATCCCTCTCCCTTCCTCTCTGTAAAAAAAAACCAATAAAAATATTTTTTTAAAAAATCAATGGAAAGATATCCTCAGGTGAGGATTAACAAAACAAGACAAATAAAAAGAATAATGAAGAATGTAGCTAATGAAAATAGAAAAATATAATTTTACTAGAGGCCCAGTGCATGAAAATTCATGAACTGGGGGGGGTCCCTCAGCCCAGCCTGTCCCCTCTCACAGTCTGGGAGCCCTCAGGGGATGTCCTACTGACGGCTTAGGCCCGTTCCCCACAGGGAGCAGGCCTAAGCCGCAGTCTGGCCTCCCTCTGCGGGAGGCGGCCAGGCCAATCAGGGGAAGGTGCCAGGCCCATCACCCTGCCTCTGCTGCTGCCTCTGGCCTCCCTCTGCAGGAGGCAACCGGGCTCATCAGTGGAAGGCTGCCACTGCCAGCTGCTGCGGCTGCCAGCCCTCCTCAGCCCTCACAGCCACTGCAGCTTTATCCGGAAGGACGTCCAGAAGACATCCAGTCTAATTAGCATATTACCCTTTTATTAGTATAGATAACCAGAATGAAATCACTAATTTTGGAAAGATTACTAACTGGAGCTACAACCCTGAAGTAAATGGTTAATGGTGAAAAGGAAATTCATTTGGTACCCCAAAACAATGCACAGATTATTTTTTAGTCTTAAGAGGAAAACAATAGAGAGATCAGACTGTCATCCCCTAAACTAGCAGTCAATCTCAGTTTCACTCAACCAACGAATGCATAAATAAGTAGAACAAATCAATGTTTCTCTCTCTTTCTAAAACCAATAAGAAAATAAAATAAAAAGCAAAGCACACTGCCATCGATCAATATTGAATAGTTATCTGTGGTAGTTAACTTAATGGTGATGTATCTGATGCCTCTTCCTTCTTTTCATGAAGCTTACGTCATCAACTTTAAATAGAAGAAGTATATCTATATATGCCAATGTCATTATATCTGAAAAAAGGGATACAAGGTGCGTATAATATTTTCCAATTGCTGCATGACAAATGACCACAAATGTAGTGGCTTAAAACATATCTCGAAACCAAAAGGTTGCTGGTTCGATTCCAGGTCAGGGCACATGCACAGGTTTTGGGCCCAATAGCCGGTAGGGGTCATGCAAGAGGCAGCCGATCGATGTTCCATTCTCATATCGATGTTTCTATCTCTCTCTCCCCCTCCCTTCCTCTATCTCTAAAAGTCCATTAAAAAAAAAAATCTTTAAAGAAACAAAACAACACAGCACAGATTTATTAGGTCACAAATCCAGCACTTGGCTAGATTCTCTGCTCAGAGACTCCCTAAGCTAAAATCAAAGCATCAGCTAGGGCTGCAGTTCTCATCCATATTTGTAGTCCTTTTATGAGCTCAATAGTTACTAGGAAAAGTCATTTCCTCCTCACTTCAATCCAGCAACAGAAGAGCAAACCCTTCTCATGCTTCAAACTGTCTCTCACTACTTGGAAAAAGCCCTCCACTTTTAGGGGCTCATCCCACTAGGTCAGGCCTACTGGGTGATCTTCCTACTCCAGGTCAACAGTGCCATATAAATATGAGAGTCAGGGGGAGAGCCAGCATTTTTAGAACTGACTACCACAGACACAGAAAGTTGTAAAACTTAATTAAAAACACCTTTCTTACCTGTTAATAATGAACCATGCAACAGTAAGCATTCCTGCTAGCCAGGTTCCACTCATAAGCCAACTTGTAACAAATAAAGCAGCAACATATATTCCTTGCAATCCAAAAACAATACCAATATAGAAATATACTGGCTCAATAATCTCCTAATTGAAAAAAATAGAGAGATAAGGAGATAACAGAATTACATCAAGTAATTTTGAGGAATCATAAGTATGCGAGATAATAACTATTATAATAAAAAGAAAAACACATACGTTGCTACCAGTTGCTTGATATAAAACACTGGCTATAAGTTCTGGATATAGAGACATTTGTTGCACTGCATTTATAGTCTTCAGAGATACAGTTTTGTTATTATGTGTCAGTTCATAAACACCTAAAGACAGAAACATTTTTCCCTAGGTTATTTATTCTGCTTTTATGATAATTAAACATGTCATTCAGAAGTCACTGAATATTTTAAGTTAATATCAAGAAAAATCCAAAAAAAAAAAAAAAAGAAAAATCCCAAAATAATACTGTGTCTCATTTTTCCAATTATTTTATTAAGTATTAGGAAGAACAATATCTATATTCTGAGACAAATCTCTACAATCAAAGGCTACGATACAGAAGAACAATGTTTTATTTTATATTTATTTATTTAACTTCACCTGAGGACATGCTTAGAGAGAAGAAGAGGGAAGAGAGAGAGAGAGAGAGAGAGAGAAAGAAAGAGAGAGAGAGAGAGAGATGAGAGATAACACCAAGTGGTTGCCTTCTGTACGTGCCCCGACTTGGGACCAAACCCAAAACCTGGGTATGTGCCCTGACCAGGAATTGAACCGGCAACCCTTTGGTCAGGACGATGATGCTCAACCAACTGAGCCATTTTGGCTGGGAAAAAATGTTTTATTTTAAAATAAAAATATTATTATTAAAAATATAAATGTACTTATCATACCTCTTTCAAATGAAGGTGCCTTTAACATATCTTTATAATAAGAGTAATAAATGGCACTGTCACCCTGGAATGTGATTTCTCGTTCAAGCTCCTAAAAGAAAATATAATGATTATTTAAATACCAGTGTCCTAAATTTCAACTGCTATCTTCCATCACTCTCATCTTCTAAACCAGTGGTTCTCAACCTTCCTAACGCCGCGACCCTTAATACAGTTCCTCATGTTGTGGTGACCCCCAACCATAAAATTATTTTCGTTGCTACTTCATAACTGTAAATTTGCTACTGTTATGAATCGTCATGTATATATCTGATACGCAGGATGTATTTTCATTGTTACAAATTGAACATCATTAAAGCATAGTGATTAATCACAAAAACAATATGTAATGATATATGTGTGTTTTCCGATGGTCTTAGGCGACCCCTGTGAAAGGGTCGTTTGACCCCCAAAGGGGTTGCAACCCACAGGTTTAGAACCGCTGTTCTAAACTAATACTATTTATTTATCCATTTATTCAAAGATATGTTTGAATTTTCCTTTAAGTAGGTCAAAGTTTTGGGGTTTTTAAAAAATGTTTTTATTGATTTCAGAGTGAGGAAGGGAGAGGGGGAGTGGGCTAGAAACATCAATGACGAGAATCACTGATTGGCTCCCCCTTCAGGGGATCTAGCCGGCAACGTGGGCCTGTGCCCTGACCAGGAATCGGATCGTGACCTCTTCGTTCATGGGTCGATGCTCAACCACTGACCCACACTGGCCAGGCTAAAAATATATTTTGATCCTGAAATTTTCAGATTGTTTCTGAAAACTAAAAAGCTGAGTACACTCCTCATCATTTCACTGCCACCAAAAGTCCCTGATAAATTAATTGCATGAAGGAAAGCATCCTCATATTTCTATTCTATGGCCTTAAAATATATTACACTAAAATTTTCAAGGTTGATACTATGAGTGTTCTCAAAACAGCTTTTACACCATTTTGTTTCTAATGGCTATACATAAGAAAACACTTGCCCTAGCCCAGTGGTCGGCAAACCGTGGCTCGCGAGCCACATGCGGCTCTTTGTCCCCTTGAGTGTGGCTCTTCCACAAAATACCACACACGGGCGCGCATGTACAGTGCGATTGAAACTTCCTGGCCCATGCGCAGAAGACGGTTTTCGGCCTGGGTGAGTCTATTTTGAAGAAGTAGCGTTAGAAGGAGTGGGGGGTGTCGGTCGGGCGATGGGAGACGGAGCGCAGGCGGGCCGCAGGATACGCAGCGTGGGGAGGTGCCAAATATCAACAGTACTTAAACTATATAGGTAGGTCAATAATGTACCTACCTATATAGTTTAAGTTTAAAAAATCTGGCTCTCAAAAGAAATTTCAATCGTTGTACTGTTGATATTTGGCTCTGATGACTAATGAGTTTGCTGACCACTGCCCTAGCCGGTTTGGCTCACTGGATCGAGTGTGGGCCTGGGGACTAAAGGATCCCAGGTTCGATTCCAGTCAAGGGCATGTACCTTGGTTGCAGGCAGATCCCCAGTAGGCGGTGTGCAGGAGGCAGCTGATCGATGCTTCTCTCTCATCAATGTTTTTAACTCTCTATCCCTCTCCCTTCCTCTCTGTAAAAAAATCAATAAAATATATTTTTTTAAAAAAGTAAGAAAACACTTGTCATACTTATCACACTGTTTGGGCTCTCTGGAAAAGCAAATTAGTTAAATTAATATTAAGTACTAAAAAAACTCTCATATGCTCGAAAGTCTTTCTTCTTACCTGCCTGTTGGAAAACCAGAATTTCCGCTCATGGTACGCTGACAAATACAGAGCATACATCATACCGCTAGTAACTGCTGCAAGACAGCCAATAAAAATCTTTGCAAAGCGCTGAAATAATACATCTGAAAAAACATATTAAAAGTAGTTAGATGTAGATGATATCTATATTTATGAACTTCAATTAAAAAAGAAAAAGTAATCAAAAGTTATGATATGATGTGGATATGATGTGATAAAAATGGCATTCTAACTCTATGGTCTTTCTTCCCAAAACCCATTGCCCCAGTGTAATTCTGAGAAAAACAGCAGACAAATTCCAACAGAGGGGCATCCTATAATATACCTGAACACTATTCCTCTAAACTGCCAAGGCCCTCAAAAACAAAGCCTGCACAACAGTCACAGCCAAGAGGAGGAGTCTAAGGAGACATGACAACTGAATGTAATATATCCTAGATGGTATCCTAGAACAGAAAGAGGACATTAGGCAAAAACCAAAAAAATCTGAATAAAATATGGACTTTAGTTTAAAATAATGTATCAATACTGGTTCATTAATTATAACCAACGTACCTTACTAATATCCTATATAATAAAAAGCTAACATGCTAATTAGACCAAACAGCCAAATGACCTTCTGGACATCCTTCCGGATGAAGTTGCAGCAACAGGGGCCAAGGCAGAGGCGATTAGGGGCGATCAGGCAGGCAGGCGAGCAGTTAGGGGCATTGTGCAGGCAGACAGAGTGGTTAGGGGCAACCAGGCAGAGGGGTTAAGGGGGATTAGGCAGGCAGGCGAGTGGTTAGGGGCAACGAGGCAGGCAGGCAGAGTGGTTAGGGGCTATCAGGCAGGCAGGCAGGCCAGCAGTTAGGAGCCAGAGGTCCCAGATTGCGAGAGGGTGCAGGCTGGGCTGAGGGAACCCCCCCCCCCGCCATGCATGAATTTCGTGAAACAGGTCTCTAGTTAAATAATAATAATAAGGAAAACTCTGTGTGTGTGTGTGTGGGGGGGGGGGATGATAACTTGGGAATTCTGTACTATCTGCTCATTTCTTCTATAAATTGAACATATTTTTTAAAAATCTATTCATTTTAAAAAGGAATAAGTAGAATGTACTACAATACCAAATATCTAAAGAAAAAATAGGTTCAATCAGAATTACTACTGATATTTTTTCTTATCCAGGAATCTTTTTCTTTATTGAGGAACAGTTTACTATAAACTACAGCTATTTAAAATGTACAATTTGTCCAGCCAGCGTGGCTGGGTGGTTGAGCATCAACCTATGAATCAGGGGGTCATGGTTCAATTCCTGGTCAGGGAACATGCCCGGGTTGCAGGCTCGATCCCTGGTGTGGGGCAAGTAGGAGGCAGCCGATCAATGATTCTCATCTTTGATGTTTCTATCTTTCTCTCACTCTTTTTTCCTCTTTGAAATCAATAAAAATGTAAAATAAATAAAATAGCCCTAGCTGGTTTGGCTCAGTGGATAAAGTGATGTCCTGTGGACCAAAGGGTCCTGGGTTCGATTCGGGTGAAGGGCAAGTGTCTCAGTTGCAGGCTCCTTCTGGCCCAGGGCCCTGGTCAGGGCTCGTGCAGGAGACAATCAATCGATGTGTTTCTATGACATCGATCTTTCTCTGTCTTTCCCTCTCTCTAAAAATCAATGAAAAAATAAATAAATATATATACAAAAATAAAATAAAATGTACAATTCAATGGCTTTTGATGATTATGTATTTAAAACTTCATGTACAACTGTTATGTATATGTAACAATTTCTTGATGAACTAACATAAAACATATTTACATATTTGGATTTTCTACAGACAGGATGATTTAGTCCTGCTATAACTATTAAGATTAAATATAAGCATGGGTCTAAAGGCCCAAAGCCTAGTGTTCTGCTACTGAATGACTGGAAGTTTGTAAAAATCAACTTGTTGATTTATTTGTTTAGATAAACTAAAATCTTAGCTATTTTCAATATATTATTTCATAAATGTTAGTTTGCACAGCATATTAGACATTAAAGCCTACTTAGGTATCACTAAATTAATATGAATTATAATAAAAATGCTTGAAGAACCCTACCCAGTAAATCAAATAGTATCTGTATGATAAAATTATTTTAAAATTACTGCTTCCAATAGCATGTGTAAAGCATCTGGCCTGGCAGATAGTAAGAGCGCAGTAAAAACACAATAAGAAAACTTATTTATGGCAGCAGCTTGGCAAAAGTTCTTCCAAGTTTCTAAACATGGATCTTTTCCTGTGTGTGTGTGTGTGTGTGTGTGTGTGTGTGTGTGTGTGTGTGTTTCATTAAGTCTTACCCAATAGCAAGCTAATCCTAATTATCAAATGCTAGTAGAAAAATATATATTCAACCAAATCTTGTACAGACACTCCCCAACTTACACTGTTTCTACTTTAAATTTCCTGACTTTAGAATGGTACTAAAGTGTGTTATAAATGAGTGAGATTTAGAGGTGGTTCTACAGTAAAACCTAATGGAAGTTGTCTGGTACCACCACATCTTAAACACAAAATATGTATCTACATTTAAAGTATTAATATAAAATAGACTACCTACCATAACTGTATTTTTGCGGGAGCACAAAAACTCCAAATCTAACTTACGTTTTGGAGCTCTTTCAGGAACTGGAGTGTCATCGATTTTCTCTTCTTTGGCAGATTCTTTATTTTCTGAAGATTTTGGCTTTTTTCTTTGGCGCAGTTCTATAGATGGTCCTTAAAATATTTGAAAAGTTATTGCAATGTGTATCAAATCATTCTGTCTGTATCCCAAATGATTAACTTTTATTATACTAAGGTAAAAGTCACACCAAGACCTATTAGTACCAAAGATAACTTTTTTCATAATTATTTTAGCACTCATCACAAAACTGTCTTTCCTACAAACAAAAAAGACAACATCGGTTCCACCTCCAGCATGTGCTTTCAGAGTCTTATTGATAAACTAATGAGCTCTTCTCCGGAGATGAAGGTATTTTCACAATATCCCAAAATAAGTAAATTTTTTTCATGATTGGGAAACAAACTGGTATGTAAAAAGTTAGCTTATTATTCTAGTTACCTATTAGTTACATGCATAATACATGGATTAATGATTTTTAATCAAAATATAAAACACATTGACCATAAAAATATACCTCATTATTTATTTATTTATTTGATGTATTTTTATTGACTTCAGAGAGGAAGGAAGAGGGAGAGAGAGACAGAAACATCAATGATGAGAGAGAATCATTGATCGGCTGCCTCCTGCATGCGTGCCCACACTGGGAATTGAGCCTACAACCCAGGCAAGTGCCCTGACCAGGAATCAAACCGTGACCTCCTGGTTCATAAGTCGATGCTCAACCACTGAGCCATGCCGACCAGGCACCTCATTTTTTACTTTTTATTGATTGATTTCTAGAGCGAGAAATGTGGAATTGTTGTTCCACTTACGTATTCATTGGTTGCTTCCTCGTATGTACCCTGAATGGGAAACAAACCCACAACCTTGGCGCATCAGGACAATGCTCTGACCAACAGCGCCACCGGGCCAGGGTTATGCTTCATTTTTTAAATAATCCTGAAAGTTCTGCAGAATTTCACAATGCTGTGGTATCATTATCCTTCAATAGTCTTATAGACTTAGGTATTAGAAAATAGGCTGAACCTATAAATATCCCTGTATTTGGGAAATCTCAGAAAATTCCCCAATATTAGATTATCTACCTTTTATATATCTAATCCAAAAAAAGGCATAATGCAGAAAAAGTTCTTTCAAACAAGTAAACTAAATCCCAAATTAAAAAGAAATTTACTATATGCAATGTAAATACTTTTCCTCATTAGAAATAATTAACTTATGGGGTAAGCTTTGCCCTTATGAAGTTAGAGTGTCCCGTCAAGTTTACAAGGGGAATGAGGACACATTTGTAATTCCTTAACTAATAAAGAATTTAAAGATTTAAAAAATAAATAAACAAATAAATAAAAATTTTTAAAAAGTATTTGTCTCCTCCTTATAGAGATTTTTCTTTTCTTTTTGTGATGACTGTAGGCCATGAAATATAAGCCTAAAGAGAGGAGTCAAAAAAGGAGAAATGAGTCAGCTACTGTTGCTGATAAGATGGATTATTCTCTAACTTTACTGTAGAAAATGAATAAAGTAAATGTATTTTACTTTTTTTAAAGAACACACATACACACACACACACACATAAATGTATACATATTTCAGAAAGAAAGGGAGAGGGAGAGAGATAGCAACATCAATAATGAGAGAGAATCATCGATAGGCTGCCTCCTGCACGCTCCCCGACAGAATGGAGCTCGCAATCTGGGCATATGCCCTAACCAGGAATCCAACTGTGACCTCCCTGGTTCATGGGTCAACATTCAACCACTGAGCCACATCGGACAGGCTAAAATAAGTGTATTTTTTTTTAAAATATATTTTATTGATTTTTTACAGAGAGGAAGGGAGAGAGATAGAGAGTCAGAAACATCGATGAGAGAGAAACATCGATCAGCTGCTTCCTGCACATCTATTGGGGATGTGCCCGCAACCAAGGTACATGCCCTTGACCGGAATCGAACCTGGGACCCTTCAGTCCACAGGCCGACGCTCTATCCACTGAGCCAAACCGGTTTCGGCAAAATAAGTGTATTTTAAAATAGCGTCAGAGTAAATTCATGTTTGCCAAAATATCTTTTTTTTTTTTAAAATATATTTTATTGATTTTTTACAGAGAGGAAGGGAGAGAGATAGAGAGATAGAAACATGGATGAGAGAGAAACATCGATCAGCTGCCTCCTGCACATCTATTGGGGATGTGCCCACAACCCAGGCACATGCCCTTGACCGGAATCGAACCTGGGACCTTTCAGTCCGCAAGCCGACACTCTATCCACTGAGCCAAACCGGTTTGGGCTGCCAAAATATCTTTAAATACTGTCATAGTGAGGAAAAAAACTGTATGTTTTGTGGATTCAGTTTGACTAGCCTAATTTTTAACCATTTCTATACTATTTTTTGTGTTACCACATTAGTGAAGCCAATGAATACATAAGAAAATGACATTATTAGAAAAGCCATACTGTGAATTTTGAGATTCTGTGCATACAAATCTGGGTCAACTAATAAATATATTCCTTCTTCATGACGCCCTTTTAATTTTCCCCTTATATGAGTTAGAGCAAAAGTTAGAAGTGGTCAACTAGAATAAAGTTTTATGTAAAGCCAGTAAAGTCTTCAGATGCAAGTTACTGTTTTAAATTTTATTTTAAAAGCATACAAAGAAAACACACACAAAAAGTTTATTTAGTAGCTATACATGCATATTAAACACATTAATAGTTTTAGATTTTTTTAAAAAAATTTAATTGGATACTCTCTGAAATCAAATTAACAAATATATTGAGGTTGTTAACAAATGTGTGTGACCAATGGGTATTTGTGACCAAGGTAGGTGTTTGTATTTGACAGTGTCTAAAAGCACACATTTAAGATAAAGATAAATTGGGAAGGGAGTGTTCACATAAAGTGTTCTTTACAAAAAGCTACAATTTTCCTTTTTAAAAAAAAAATCTTTATAAAATAAATCACTTTACTAGGGTCTTTAATAAAGTGTTCTCTGTGCACATAAATGGATTTTTATTTATGAAAGTACAAGTTATACAAAAATTTTGCAGTTTCCAAAATAATTTATGAAGCATACAAATCTTAACAGTCATCTCTCAAGAATCTATATTAGTAATGATAGATCATACAAATCAATATACTAAAAGGATCTATAATGCTTTATTTTCTTAATTCTAAAATGCCATTCATTTAAAGATATTATTTAATAAGTTTTTCAAGGGGGAAAACCATGAGCATATTAAATATATGCACTGATTTTAGAACATGACAATTACAGTGGCATTAAATTGTGGAAACAAAAAGTACAACTTGGGAAATACAGTATTCATTTTAGCCAATCTCTTCAACCTTGTTCTTTTTTATTTATTTAATTTTTTAAAATATATTTTATTGACTTTTTACAGAGAGGAAGGTAGAGGGATAGAGAGTTAGAAACATCGATGAGAGAGAAACATCGATCAGCTGCCTCCTGCACACCCCCTACTGGGGATATGCCCGCAACCAAGGTACATGCCCTTGACTGGAATCAAACCTGGGACCCTTCAGTCCGCAGGTCGACGCTCTATCCACTGAGCCAAACCGGCCAGGGCTTCAACCTTGTTCTTAAAACTAATTTTCTAACTGTCACCATGTAACATATCTGATTAGATGCAAATCTCACCTGTTTTCTCTGTATTGATCTCCTAACTTAATAATTGATAAAGCCAAGAATCTCTCAGTGGTAAGTAATAAAGGCCAAAACAGTGGACTAACTAGATTATGAATTCTGATAGAAAAGCTCTAGGATAGAATTCAAGTTTCCTTTCACTACTTTACGTATTTAGCACTGCAAAGAAAAAGAAAAATGAAAATAACATAGCCACAAAAACATCCTGCTACTTCTGGTCCAGTGATCTTTACATGAGACAGTAGGAATACAAAGGGGCCTGCACATGTCCATCCAGAATACAGCATCTCCAAGTGAAGTGTTAATACTGCTCTGCTCAGGGTGTCACTTCTTTCTTTGCTCTAACATTTCGTTCAGGAAGCATAAACACCCGGACCCCTAGCATCAAAGAAGACATCTTTTGGAAGATGAGATTCCTAAATAATATTTATTTAGAGAAAAAGTGGGACAACGAAGAGGATCCAAGTGAATAAGCAAAAAAAAAGATATAGAGTACATGGGGATACAAGTAAAATTAGTCTAATTTTAACACAGTGAACACAACATGTGTTTTGTGGGGGGAAAGTATTGAGTCCTAAGTAAATGCAGAACACTCAGAATGCCTGGCACACAGACATGCTTGCTATAAGTATCATTACTAGCATTACTATATAAGTCAGAATTTAATTATTCGCTGTTGACCATTATATCCCAGCACCTACCACAGTAGGGATCCAAATATTTATGTAACTTAAAAATGTGTTGAGTGAAAATATATTTTAAATAAACTGCAATTGATTATGTTTCATATAAGATGTATTTAACTGCTTTGAAATATCTGTAATTCTACAACCAAGAATCATTTTTTTTTTAAATATATTTTATTGATTTCCCACAGAGAGGAAGGGAGAGAGATAGAGAGTTAGAAACATCGATCAGCTGCCTCCTGCACACCCCCTGGGGATGTGCCCGAAACCCAGGTACATGCCCTTGACCGGAATCGAACCTGGGACCCTTCAGTCTGCAGGCCGACGCTCTATCCACTGAGCCAAACCGGCTTCGGCAAGAATCATTTTTTACTTTATATCACATAGTGTAGTCTTTTTTTTTTTTTTAATTAATTTCAGAGAGGGAGAGGAAGAGATAGAAACATCAGTGATCACAGAGAATCATCAATCAGCTGCCTCCTGCATGCCCCCAACTGGGGATCCAGCCCACAACCCGGGCATGCGCCCTGACAGGGAATCAAAAGGTGACCTCCTGCTTCACAGGTCCACACCCAACCATTGGGCCACACCAGCAGGGTGGTATGGTCTTTTTAACTGTGTAACTATAATGTCATTTTATATGATGCCTAATATTAAAGACTTTTAGTACCCAGTGTTAATTTTTTAAATTTATCTTTATTGTTGAAAGTATTAACATACTCTCCCCCTATTCCTCCTGTTGACCCCTTCCCTCCCACCCTTGTCCCCAGCATTAACTCAGCGATTTTCAACCCTTTTCACCTCATGCCATACATAAACTAATTACTAAAATTCTGTGGCACACACACAAAAATATATTTTTGGCTGATCTGACCAAAAAAATAGGTATAATTTTGATTCATTCACACCAGACGGCTATTGTTGTGTTGGCTGTTGTCATTCTTTTTCCTTGACAATCTAAGGCGAAAGAGGTCAGTGCCGCTGACTGAAAAAGTCAGTTATTGCATGTCTTAAAAATTCTTGCAGCACACCGGGTGAAAACTGCTGCTTCCACTTGAGCATGAAAGTGCTCAAGGAAACTTATAAACCAGCTCAGCAACCTACCCCCACACATTTGCAATGAGTCAGAAAAGGAAAGGAAAATATCAAGAAATGTTTTAAAAATATACTGCAGCCAAAGATAAAAAATCCAAGGCAACAAATGAAATTAGATTCTTCCTCACCAACCACAAATAGTGTTGTTTTGAAGCTGTTTTTAGGTAGCGTGTCTTACATTTAGATCCGTTTTAACACTCTGGGAACTCAAGGAAGAGAAGGCAAAGATGAAGCCGGTGTGAGCATAGGGACCAGACAGCAAGTCACAGGACTGCGGACACGCCTCACAATTTACGTTTTAAAAATCGCTTTCCTGCCCTGCCTGGTTTGGCTCAGTGGACAGAGCATGGGCCTGCAGGCTGAAGGGCCCCAGGTTCAATTCTGGTCAAGGACACATGCCCGGGCTTGCAGGCTCCATCCCCAGTGGCCGGCAAGCAGCAGGCAACCGATCAATGACTCTCTCTCATCATTAAAGTTTCTATCTCTCTCCCCCTCTCCCTTCCTCTCTGAAATCAATTTTAAAAAGTACATATTTTTTTTTAAAAAATCGCTTTCCACTGAATTCTTGAAACGCTCTCCTTGCACTCCTTGGGTCAATAAGATTTAACTCTAAATAGATCACAATACAAACTCCAGTCAATAGGGGAAAAAAAAAAAAAAAAAAAGCGATGTTTTCCAGCAAAATAAAAACCGCTCAGTCCTGGGACATCATACCTGTTCCTGAAGCTAATATGGCATCGTGAAGTTATTGTGGCACGCATGTTTCCTATCATAGCTATCACTCGCCAAGTGCCTCCCAGTTCCCCATTTTTCTCATACCTGTCCTTCTCTTTCTTTTTTTAAAAATATATTTTATTGTTTTTTTTTTACAGAGAGGAAGGGAGAGGGATAAAGAGTTAGAAACATCGATGAGAGAGAAACAATGATCAGCTGCCTCCTGCACACCTCCTACTGGGGAAGTGCCCGCAACCCAGGTACATGCCCTTGACCGGAATCGAACCCGGGACCCTTCAGTCCGCAGGCTGACGCTCTATCCACTGAGCCGAACCGGCCAGGGCTCATACCTGTCCTTTCCTAGGGCTGATCCTGCAGCGAGAATGAACTCCCTGGCATGCACCCTGCGGGGGCACGGGGCGCTGCCTCCGCTCACCCACCCCCACCTCCACGGCTCTCCTGGCCTCCCAATCCCCAACGACTTCTGGTCCTTCCACGTTTGCCATCTCCTCCTGCCCTGCGGGTGAACGTCTTCAGTTTCTGCTTGTTCATCTCCTCCCAAACCCCCGTCTCTTCTGGGGGCCCTGGGCGGAGGCCCCCTCCCCCTCCCCCGCCTCTCACCTGCGCACGCAGCACGGAGCGCACCTGGTTCAAGAACTACCGCTTTCAAACAGCCACTGGGTGCCTACCTACCCCTTTTTGCATTTTTTATACAGGGCATGGCTGTGCTATTTCTTTTTAACGCCACTGTCTTTTTAAAAAATATATCTTTTTATTGATTTCAGAGAGGGGGAGAGAAAGAAACATCAATGATGAGCATCACTGACCGGCTGCCCCCTGCATGCCCCCCACTGGGGATGGAGCGCGCAACCCGTGCATGTGCCCGGGAATCGAACCGGGACCCCCTGGTTCATAGGTCCCCGCTCCTAAGCTTCTAAAACAGACCCTTCAAAGGTATTATTTCCTAAGACCCGAGGATTATCCGCTCACAGCCCGCGCTCTCGGCCACTCCCCCCCCCCCCCCCCCCCCAGCTTCTGCTGTTCCTACTCGATTCCCAACTTTCAGCGCCACCTCGGCCCACAGAACTTGGGCCCATTCACTCCGCTCCCTCGGGAACCTCCCCCCGCGCCCGCAGCCCCGGCCCCTCTTCCCCGCGACCTGGGCAGCCAGTCGGAGCGCTGCACCCCGGGCCGTCACCTTCTTCCTCCGCCATCGTCCCCGCGGAGGCCGGGCACCCCTGCGGCTCCCGCGCGGCGGGGAGTCTCCGCCCTGCGCGCGTCGCCGAGCCCCTCCGTCGCGCGAGGCCCGCGCCGCCGCGCCCCCACTTCCGGGCCCGTCCCCCTCCGGCGCCTCCGCCAACCGCGTCCCCCGCGCGCCCGGGAACCAGAGTGCCGGGAGCGGAGAGCGGCGGGCGCGTTAGGCGGGTGCGCCGGAAGGAAGGCGGCTGGAAGCCGGGGCACCGCCCCCTCCGGGAGCCCGGGCTGATATCCCCGCGGCAGCCCTTCCCCGTCGCCTTCCGAACCGGGAAAGCGGGAGGTGGAGCTGCTTTCCGGGACTTTTGAGGTTCCACTCAGGGAGTTAGAGGGTGCCGTCGGGTACACCTTCCAGATCCGGCCGGTCCCGTCCCCGCCCCATTTTGCAGAAGGGAAACAGGTCCCGCCTGTGCGGGGTGGGGGGCGGGAGAAGCTGGGCAGAGCGAGCCCTGGGCCCCGACCTCGGAGCCTGTCTGCAGGCTCGGGTTTTCCGGGCGCGCAGGACACCCACCACGGGTGAGAGCTTGGGTGTAGTAGGCCTCCTGACCGGGGCAAGAAAGAAGCTTGTACTTGGAGCTCCGTGTGTTTAACCACCCAAACTTGTTAACCGAGTAAATCTGCATTTCATGATATTCTTTTTTAATTATATATATATTTCAGAGAAGGGAGAGAGAAACATCAATGATGAGAGAGAATGATTGATCAGCTGGCTCCTGCACTCCCCCAACTGGGGACCTAGGCGGCAACCCAGGCATGTGCCCTGACCAGGAATGGAACTGTTTCATAGGTGGATGCTCAATCACTGAGCCACTGGCGAGGCTCATGATATTATTTTTAAAAACAATAATCCTGTCCTCTATGCAGAAGACAGGATGCACTTGGAAGGTATTCCACAACAATGGAACATACTTTTAACTCGTCAAACTGTGTATGTCTTCAATTTTGTTAGCTATACTAGAGGCGGGTCCCTCAGCGTCCAACATACCCTAGGGATGTAGTAGTGTGCCAGTCTGCAGGTGGCCTGGGAGGAGCCTCTGCGCTCATCCTGCCCCGCTCATCCAGGTCAGCTGAGCGGCGCTCCCACTGTGGGAGGCACTGACCACCAGGGGGCAGCTCCCGCATTGAGTGTCTGCCCCCTGGTGGTCAGTGCTCGTCATAGGGACCAGTCCATCATTCCGTAGTTTGGTGGCTTAGGCTTTTATATATAGAGATGACATTCTTAAACAAATACCAGGACCTTTCCTCTAACAGTACTTCTAAATAAATTTAGAAACTGACCAAATGCCCATTTTAGAGCAAGAGCAAAAAAGGATTAGAATTCACTGAAGTCTGGGGTAATTATGGATGCCCCATTCTTAGCAGGCAGCAAGAGTCTCCTAATAGCACCTTTGTCAAGTGAGGATGTTTGGGGAGCAGCTGTCAGTTTTCAATACTGTGCAAAATCAGTTCCAGGGACTCTTTTTGCTTTTGGTTGCCTCTACATATGTCTTGCTGACAAGCAACAATGGACACGAGTTAGAAATACCATGGCAGCCAAAACCAGTTTGGCTCAGTGGATAGAGTGTTGGCCTGCGGACTAAAAGGTCCCAGGTTCGATTCCAGTCAAGGGCATGTGCCTGGGTTGTGGGCACAGCCCCAGTGGGAGATGTGCGGGAGGCAGCTGATCGATGTTTCTCTCTCGTCGATGTTTCTAACTCTCTCTCTCCCTTCCTCTCTGTAAACAATCAATAAAATATATTTTTTTAAAAAAAGAAAGAAAAAGAAATACCATGGCAGGTACTAGTGGGCCAGAAGAGACCTGGGTCAAAGCAGAGAAAACACAATGTATGGACCTTGAAAACTGCAAGATATGGCAGAAGATACCAGTGTCCTGATGACTAGAGGAGCTTCTGCAAAAGCTCCACTTCATGGGAGAAGAATACAGTGACCAATGAGGACCACTGTTTTGCAAGTTGAGGGTCTTGAGGTGATGTCCATTCCTTCTGTTGTTCCTTCACCATCACCAGGGTGACTGATGGACTTAATTATAAATTTGCCTGCTCTATACAGTAGTGGATAAAGAGAAGAAATAGCTTCTTACAGAAATATGAAAGATATTCAATCTTTAGGCAAAAAACGTTAAAAAAAAACCCCATACACAACATATAAAATCTTCCTGTTTCTCTAGTGTTAGGGCTTTAAAAAAAACTTGATTCTTCTTTTATGAGAATACTGCTTTTTAAGGAGACTTCATAGTCTGTTACGGTCACCACAGATTTCTACTCCTTCCTGAGGAAAAAATGGTCAATGTTTCTGTTTCCCTTTTAGTAAATTCTTTAAAAAAAAAATTAAAAAAAAAAAATATATATATTTTTTATTTTTTTTTTCATTGATTTCAGAGAGGAAAGGAGAGGGAGAGAAACATCACTGATGAATCATTAATCGGCTGCCTCCTGCACCCCCCCCCCCACACACACCTGGGACAGAGCCCGCAACCTGGGCATGTGCCCTTGACCAGAATCGAACCTGGGACCCTTCAGTCCACAGGCTGACGCTCTCCCCACTGCGCCAACCCAGCTAGGGCGTAAATTCATTTCTTGATTATTACACATTATCTTTCCCCACTTAACACCTTAGAAACTTGATTGTTGAATGCATTTTTAATTTAACAAAAAAAAGTCCAATGAGGCTTTGCGTGGGATGTGTAAGTGTCAGAAACGGCAGTGTATCTTTAATTTTGAGAGGGAAATTGCATTAATGTAGAGATGCAGACATTCCAGGAAGAACAAGTGTAGGAGACTAAAATAGGGTGTGCACAGAGTTCAGAAAGCCAGTAGATACTACTTGATTTTGAGTTTTGTGACTGCCATCCACCAAAAACTGCAGTGTAGTCCAGAATATAAATCTCCACAGAAAGAAGTTTGGTTGGGCACTGCAAAATGATGGCGTTGGCTTCATTTTGTTCCGAGTATATCGCAACACACAAGAGCAGCATGAGTCACCTGCCGTGGGCAGTAACGTGTGCACAATCATGTGTGGGCATTTCTGCAAATGCTCTGTCCACCCTGGCTCTGAAAGGAGAAAATTTTATTTTTTATCTCCTTGCAGATAACGGCAGAGACCCAAAGCTGAAATACAAACCTGAAAGCAATGGTCCCATTTTTGTAAATGACACCGGCAAAGACTGGGAATGAAAAACTTTCCTGGGTAAATTAAACTCTCTTCAGTGAGTGCTTAAGAACGGCAAACTGAGGGAACAGAAATGTGCTAGACATTTGAGTGACATACAGGTATACTTCCTGCCCTTATGGTTATAATAGAAACTCAGAATTGATACACTTCAGCTCTTTAACAAGATTATATGTCAAACAAGTGATAATGGCAATATATATAGCTCTGAAATGGAAGAAGTCAGTCAAGACTGTACTATAGCCCCCAAAAATGGATAGGATTTGGACTAGACAATAGTGGAGAACTTAGCATCAGCAGGAAGAGTGATTAGAAAAAATAAGTATGTGAAATTCAGAAACACTAAAGTTCTAGATTGTGTTACTTTTATGTGGCTTAAACAGGTTTTCAAGTCGTCAAGCAACTAGAGCTCCAGTAAATACAAGGACCAAATATTAATATCTCTGACTTCCACAACAGTTAAATGTCACCAAGGCCCTAGCCGGTTTGGCTCAGTGCATAGTGTCTGTCTGTGGACTGAAGGGTCCCAGGTTTGATTCTGGGCTAAGGGCACATGCCTGGGTTGAGGCCTCAATCCCCAGTAGGTGGCGTGCAGGAGGCAGCCAGTCAATTATTCTCTTTCATCATTGATGTTTCAATCTCTATCCCTCTCCCTTCCTCTCTAAAATCATAAAAATATTTTTTTTTAAAAAAAGTCACCAAGTTTCAATAATTAACCATCTAGGGATGGTTGTACTGTATTTGGAGTGCATTTATCATTAATAGTTTTTTTAAAAAATATAGATTTTATTGATTTATTACAGAGGAAGGGAGAGAGATAGAGTTAGAAACATGGACCAGCTGCCTCCTGCACACCCCCTACTGGGGATGTGCCCGCAACCAAGGTAGATGCCCTTGACTGGAATAGAACCTGGGACCCTTCAGTCCACAGGCCGACGCCCTATCCACTGAGGTTTTTATAAATACTTATGGTAAACTTAGGGAAAAATCTTACCACCTCAGGAAAAGATGGCTGACCCACTGCCCTTCGACCATTATAGCTCTTTTAATAACAAAAAAAGAATGGAAACACTGAGATTAAACAGGTGAGTTTTATTATCAAATGTAAATATTCTACAAAAACTCAGTAGTAGTATTGTAGTATTACTTGCCTATCAGTCTTTCAGAACTTTGGGCAGACTGCATCTTAAGGCATCAAGTATAAAGAACTGTTTTCTGATCTTAAGTGCCAGTTATCACCAATATTCACACACAATGGTTTTGTTTTTTATTTTTATTTTTTCTTACTGCAGTTAAAGGGCTATTCGTGGTCAGCTGAAGAAGGGATGTTTGGTTCTCCAAGCGTTAGTCAACATAATGCAAAGTAAATAAAAATTAGCAGCCACGAAAATCTGCATGGCATTGCATTCAAGCAAAGGACAACATGAGTAACTTAAGGAAACGTGCACTGAGTTAATCAAATCCTGTTTTCCTCTTTGGAGTTCCATGAGGCAGCAGTACTAGCTAGCGAGTGTCTACTATTGCACTTTTGTAGCTAGCATAAACACAGCTAAACACATAGTGCTAAATACTGACAGCATCAGTACCTGCTCTAACCACACCAGTGTTTACCTCTCCATCTAGCATGCTGACTATAATCCTAGGCTTTAAAAGTTTTATTGTTTGATAGTTAAGGCATTAGAGAAGGTTTAAGGCTATCTTAATATATACAAGCATTCACTTCAGTGAGTACATTGCTTTCCAGAACACACTGTCCAAATATTCTCATTTTTGTCATATTTAAAACTATGGAATTACTCTTATTCAAGTCCAAACAATCAACAATGGGAAAAGTACAATATAAAATAATACATATAAAGCCACAATGTTCAGTTACAGATCAAACTAGAAATTACAAACTGCATGTAGCTGCTTCATTTTTTGGTTTTGCATTTTGGCCCCTAGAGTTCATTCTTATTTACAACTGGTGTCTGCTGGGAAAAAAGATCCAACTTTTAAACTATGTATGTTTTGTGTTGGCTGCGCTATTTCTGATTTATCCCAAGGTATTTTAAAATTGTTTTCATTGTGGTTTTTTTTTTCTTTTTTTTTTTTTTTTTCTTTAGCTATGAGATATCATCATGGCCAGGAAACTAAGAAAATATTAGTTTTATTTCTAAGTTTGTGATTTAAGTATTCCAAGACCTTTTTCTTGAATTACTTAGTAAGAGGACATGATTGTGTAGAAAGTAGGGAGGTGGAGAGAAGAGTGGGAACACACAAAAATGAAGTTTGCATAACAGAGTTTTTGGTGGAGATCGTAGACATGTAAGTGGAGTATTTTTCCTCCCAAGGCATGAAACTTAAGAAACACGTATGATGCCACGTTGGCTGGAAGTAATGGAGACATCCAATTTCCATTTCACATTTTAAATGCAATCAGCAAGGAGCCAGGCACTCTGCTTCTAGAAGGATTTGGCTTCACTGGCTCAAATTTTCCACTCCACCAAAAGATCGGGCACAGGCCCACTGTCCAATCATGTTTGCTGAAAACACTGCAGCCTGAGTGTAGACAAACGTCCCCTGAAGTTGCTTGAAGTTGATGAGGTGTCTGATGGTTTCAGGATCACCATACATCTTTCAAACACTGGAGGGGGGGGGGAATGAATAAAAGGAAATATTATAGTCTCTAAAATTTTTAATTCTTAGCAGCTATAAAAACATAATAATTTTCAATTCTAAAAGCTCTAAAAAAGCCTTAAGGTAGTTCACATAGTTGGCATTTATACAGCAAATTCTTGGGGAGTACAGCATAGGCAAATGAAGGTTATGTGATAATTTGCATTTCAGCAATTTCCTACCCTTTGTATTATCATGCATAGAATACTGTGTATATTTCCATCTCCCTACTTGACTCAACTCCTTTTGTGGAGAGACTATTCTATTCACTCCCTAGCCTGGGTCCCCAAGTTATGACGGCATCCTTCTGATTTCAGACATTTAAATATCATTATTAAAGGAAATAAAACCATTAATTTCAAACAAAAATATTTGAATCAATAAGAAGCACGGAGGCATGACACAGCAGCAAACATGAGCTCTACATGCCAAAGACTAGCATGTAGTGGATTAAGAACCTTTAGTTGGGTTATTTCACCCTCACAACTACCCTATTAGATTACCATGTTTTCCCTATTTCACAGATGAGAAAATTGAGGCACAGAGCAATTAATCCTATAGATGCTGAAAAACTGGCAGATTGAGAATCTGAACACAGTACTGGTTGCACTATGATATTTCAGTTATACGCCACACAAACACTTTAAAATAAAAACACTGCGCAGCCGGTGGGGCTCAGCCGGTGAGAGCATCCTCCGATACACCAAAAGTCAATTTAGAACATTTCTAACGTAACATCAAAAAGTTCCTTTTATAATCATTTCTTATTCAATATACTAATTTTACAAGAGATAGTAGGTTTACCAAATTCATACACAGCATGAAGGGCTTGAATAAAGAACATTGGGAAAGACAAAGTACGAACCGAAATGAATATCCACAGGCTAGACTCATGGGTTCCTACCACTGTGAACTACACTAGAAAATCCTCCACAGTCCCACTGCTAAGTATTTGGGCATGATGCTTTCTGAAACCTCTTTGAAAATGGCAGAGAATCTATCACTTCCAAATCAGAACTGGAGTCTCTACAACCTCAGAATAAGAGGGTAAGTCCCCAATTGTGACTTCTCAAGGATAACATTTTATTGGCAACCCCAATTTCAATTTAGAAGCCATATGGTTGAAGCCCACAGGGTCCTTAACCATGAAAATGTTGACAAAATTTGAAAACAACATGTCAGCAAGCCAGTTTCAGCAAACCGAGTAATAAAGAAATAAACCACACTATTGCCTGAGCATGTTCCTACAACTCCACCCCTTGAGGAGCCTCACCCAGAATGCATCATCCTTCCAGAAAAGGCTATAATTAATAGGAAAAGGAAAAAAAAAAACAAAACCCAACCCAACTAATTTCAAAGAAACCTTATCAGGGTTCCTTCCCTCTAGATTTAGTTTTAGAAAAGGAAAAAGATATGCAACAAAAACCTTGCAATCATTTTGGAATAAATCACATTTAAATTATACCTAGATGAACCTTAAAAATATTATGCTAAGTGAAAAGCAAGTCATGAAAGGACAGATACTATGTCATTCCACTTATGACGTAACCAGAACAGTCAAATGCATTAAAACAGAAAGAAGAATGGGAGAAGCCAGGGGCTGGGGAAAGAGAGAAATGGGAATTTATTACTTAAGGTAAACAGAGTTGGAGAAAAGAAAAAAGTTCTGGAGTTAGATAGTAGCGATGTTTACACAACAATGTGAAATGTATTTAATGTCACTGAACTGTAAACTTAAGAAATGATAAATTTTATGTTATGTATATTTTACCACAATTTTTAAAAAAGGAAACTGGGAAAAAAGTATATCTAACTTAATAGAATGACTCAGTGATTCCACTCATAGATACATAAGTCCCAAAATGAAAAGCAAGTTCTTAAATATGTGTACATAAATGCTACCATCAGTGCTAGCATTCACAATAGCCAGAAAATGGAAACAGCACAAATGTCCATCAGTGGATAAATGCATAAACAAAATGTGTTATATCTGTACAATGAAATATTATTCAGCCACAAAAAGGTATAAAGTAATGATACATGCTACAACATAGATGAACCTCAAAAACATGTGAAGTGAAAGAAGCCAGGTATAAGATATAATTCCATTTATACGAAATATCCAGAATAGGCAAATCCTAACCAATAGTCCACATGAGATATAGCAAGAGAATTTCCAAATGGAAAGGTTTCCCCTTATCCCAAACTAGAGGTCCAGTACACAAAATTCATGCACTCGGAGACTCCCTCAGCCCAGCCTGCACCCTCTCACAGTCTGGGAGCCCTCGGAGGATGTACAACTGACAGCTTAAGCCGGTAGTCAGACATCCTTAGCGCTGCCGTGGAGGCGGGAGAGGCTCCTGCCACCCCTGCTGCACTTGCCAGCTGTGAGACCAGCTTCTCGCGTTGAGTGTCTGCCCCCTGGTGGTCAGTGCGATCATAGCAACTGGTCATGCCACCATTCAATTTGCTTATTACCCTTTTATTATATAGGAGGATAACTTACTATTATCCACAAATGTTGCTTAGATACCACCTACTGAGATGACAATCTTAACTGCAGTCTCCATCCCTTCCAGTGTTTCTGACACACTTACATCACACTAGAGAAAAGAGGAAACTTCTCACCTGATTCCTAAGAAAACACTTTCTGATTCTTGATCTCTATTTGTTTAGCCCTTTATAATTTACCTTTCATATCACAGAGCCTTACCTTCTTTTCTGAGGGTGGTCTAACTGCTGGGACCCTTAAATACAAACCCATTCTTTGGGTAGAGTCCTGGCCTGGTCATTTGTGTGTACAAGTCCATCCTCGGTTGCATACTAAAATGCAAGTTAAAACAAACAGGATCAAAAGATGGACAAACTGTCACCACGAATGGTTAGTATTTCAACTGAATAGATCTACCAACCAATTATTGGGCATTTAGACTATAGAAAACAAGTTAAAACAGGTACAAGCCATATACATAAGTGTTAATCCCAAGTCTTCATTTGTTACTTAACATGTCTGAATACCTTAAAAATCCCTTCTGGGAGGGAAGTTTGATTGAACACATAGATTAAACACACACACCACCACCATTCCACAGTAAACATCACCAAATACTTCAGGGCCTGCTAACAGTACAGTTTCCATGATACCACAGGTATGACTAGCTAGCAAATATTTGAGCACCAACTATTTGCAAGGTATTCTAAAATAAGCCAAATATGTCCTAACAACCCTGTCAACTTTAAATAGTATTCAATATATTTTCAATACTGCTCTAATCTCTCAGTAAGACAGCAAGTAAAAATCTTAGCAGTGAAAGGCCCAAAGAGATCATGATTAAAGTCTAGCACTTGCTGAAAATGCAAAATCATTGACAGTAAAAGATCATGCAAAGAGGAAATGAAAAACTTAAAAGGAATTAGTATAAGGATTCTCAAGAGTCCATTCAGAATAACAGACCCATCAACTAAAATATAAAATACAGGCTTATTTTCATGACCAGAATGACATTCTCATCATCAAATGTTTTACTGGTGGTTTATCTTCAGTAAATGCAGTCCTCATTCTATTAATCTCATTCCTCAAAATGGGCCTAACTCAGGTACTTTAACTTTATAAGACTCAGATTTCCTAGCAGAACCCATGCCCTGCATTTTGCTGAGCCCACCAGAATTCCCCCCTTTGTGGAAATCCTGCCCTTTCCAGCCTCACCCTTAATGAAGTATGGAAAACTTAAGTTGGAGTAGTTTTATAGAAGGAATTTTGCTGAGTGGGGGAAACATAATTCCAAAAACTGTATTTAAAAATAACATATGGCCAAAACCGGTTTGGCTCAGTGGATAGAGCGTCGGCCTGCGGACTGAAAGGTCCCAGGTTCGATTCCGGTCAAGGGCATGTACCTGGGTTGTGGGCACATTCCCAGTAGGAGATGTGCAGGAGGCAGCCGATCGATGTTTCTCTCTCATCAATGTTTCTAACTCTCTATCTCTCTCCCTTCGTCTCTGTAAAAAATCAATAAAATATATTTAAAAAAAAAAAATAACATATGTATAGAGAATAATATATGCCATCATTATATCAAGATATATGTATTTTCAAAAACATATATATTTTAAATATATTTTTATTGATTTCAGAGAGGAAGGAAGAGGGAGAGAGAGAAATATTAATGATGAGAATCACTGATTGGCTGCCTCCTGCACGCATGCCCCCTACCAGGGATTGAGCCCGAAACCTGGGCATGTGCCCTTGGCCAGAATCGAACCTGGGACCCTTCAGTCTCCAGGCTGGTGCTCTATCCACTGAGCCACACAGGCTAGGGCTCAAAAAGTATTTTTACTGATTTTAGAGAGAGAGAGGAAGGGAGAGCGATAGAGAGAAACATCAATGAGAGAGAAACATTAATCAGCTGCACAGCCCCCACTGGGGATTGAGCCCACAACCGAAACCTGGGTATGTGCCCTGGCCGGGAATAAAACCAGAGACCCCTTGGTTTATGGGTCGACAACTCAAGCACTGAACAACACCGGCTGGGCAAGATATATGTATTTTTAAAAGCCAGAATTAAGCCGAAACCGGTTTGGCTCAGTGGATAGAGCGTCGGCCTGCGGACTGAAAGGTCCCAGGTTCGATTCCGGTCAAGGGCATGTACCTGGGTTGTGGGCACATCCCCAGTGGGAGGTTGCGCAGGAGGCAGCTGATCGATGTTTCTCTCTCATCGACGTTTCTAACTCTCTACCTCTCTCCCTTCCTCTCTGTAAAAAATCAATAATATATATATATATATATATATATATATATATATATGTAAAATAAATAAATAAATAAATAAATAAATAAATAAATGCCAGAATTAAACTATGGAGAGATTTCATTCTCTCAACCAATTATTACCAAGTATTTGCTTAATATAAGTAAATTATATAATTACATAAAACAAATGCTAAATAACCAGAAATCAAATGAAAAACTATTAAATCAGCAACCAGCAATAAATACACTGTAAGTAAAGATTTAAAAAGTCCTCCTCTAATTGACTGGTCTTGTGACAAAATGGTATCTAAAGAATCTGGAATCCCACAGCTAGTGGCTGTTATTTTCTTTCTTTTTTAGGATCAGTCTCTTTTACGGAGGGCCTTCACAGGAGGGTCAGATCGCTGGAAGGATAATGAGATCCTATGTCCTCGGCCCGGCCAGATCTCCTCAGCTTCACAGCTGCTGAAAAGCATGGCTGTTATTTTCTGTTCTTAATATAACTGAGATAAAAATAATTTATTTAAAAAAATTATGAAGTCTTAGAGATAGTAGAAAAGATGAGCTTTTATGTGAGAGTGGTAAAAACTTAGGACAGAAAAGATTTTGAATGAGGCATTGTAACTATCTTAAAGCTTAAATTACTGAAGGAAAACATTGCAATAATTTGATATACTGAATTGAAAAATCGAGGTCCCTACATACGCCTAAGTCATTGGGCCAGGTCATAAATTCCAGGCACTTCGGAAATGGAAGGCCAAATGCCTAGAGATGAAATCATTTTGCACAACCTTCCTGCTTTTGATATCAGATAACTCTACCCCAATCTTGATGATAAACTGCCGCAGATTGAAGTTATTGTATCACAACTCAGCACACCAATATTTTAGCCACAAATCTAAAAATGATTATTACTTATTTGTGGTAGAATAAATACCCACAAAAGCCAGCCATTGCACACTTCATAACAGCAGCAATTTTGCTTAATCTCAAACCAACGTATGTGTACCACTGCTTAATTCTATTCAGTATGAATGTAAAAGTTGATCAGTCAAAACAAAAAACAAATTAATTCAGCTGACAACTAAAACCTAAAACTTTGCTTATACTTTCTAGAATTGAAAAACAATGGGGGAAATTACAAAACTCAAATGTTTACTCCATGAGATTAAGCAAACTTTTTTTTTTTTTACTTTTTATCTGAGGATTTTCCATTGCTTTTAGATGGAATGGAAGGGAATGGGAAAAGAGAAAGACAGAGAGAGGGAAAGAGACATGGGTTGGTTGCCTCCTACACGCGCCTTGACTGCAGCCTGGGAATGAACCTACAACCCAGGTACTTGCCCTTGACTGGGAACCGATCCTGAGACCTTTTGGTGCGTGGGCTGAAGCTCTAACCACTGAGAACCACCAGCCAGGGCTAAGCAACCCCTCAATAACCTTTGATAAAATTCTCTATTCTTTTCATAACCTAATGAATCAGATATGAAGCTTAGAAAGTAAGTTTTAAAAAATATATAGATATTTTTATTGATTTCAAAGAGGAAGGAAGAGTGGGAGAGAGAGATAGAAACATCAGTGATGAGAGAGAATCATTGATCTGCTGCCTCCTGCATGCCCCCCCCCCCCCCCCCGGAGGGGATCGATCCCTGACCTCCTGGTTCATAGGTTGAAGCTCAACTACTGAGTCATCTCTGCAAGGGCTTCTTCTGTTAGGCAGCTTAATTGTTTAGGGAAAAAGCAAAGTATCTACTGCTATCTGGGGAAAAAAAAACACACACAAAATTTCGTTGAGCTCCACAATCTTCCATGATTCATGGACACCAAGCTTGTAAGTCCATTCTAATAGTGAAAACAGCTTCTGCGGGCACAACCCTTAAAATGTTGTACTATAAACAATTAAGGGCTATTTCAGGATTTGACAATTATGCCTATAAAGCAGTGGTTCTCACCCTTCTGGCCCTTTAAATACAGTTCCTCATGTTGTGACCCAACCATTAAATTATTTTCGTTGCTACTTCATAACTGTAATGTTGCTACTGTTATGAATCGTCATGTAAATATCTGATATGCAGGATGGTCTTAGGCGACCCCTGTGAAAGGGTCGTTCGACCGCCAAAGGGGTCGCGACCCACAGGTTGAGAACCGCTGCTATAAAGGCTTCCCAACTTGTAAAGACTCAAGCCAAGTTCAGCTCCAAGAAGAAAGACAGTTCTTCCTATTAATGCAATCAAAAGGCTGTATGATAATGATTTTTAGCTACTGTAAGAAAGAAGAGTTCGGTTCTAGGTATTATGTGATTTAAGGAAAGGTGTCTGCTCAGATGAGATGGCAATGAGGGGATTTTGCTCATTGTTAAAGAGAGCTTACCAAGAAAAATCTCATTCTTTATCTGAAGTCGGAAAACAACTGATGGACACAGGCAGTGGCAGAGTGACAAGAGTAATACCAGTTTCACAAGAATTAATTGTGGATCATTACATAAAAGGCTCAATGAATATCCTACAGCTCATTTTAAGGAGTTCTTAACTACAGATTCATTGAGTTTCCTTTTCTTTTCTTTTTTTCAGGATAGGCATAGAGCCCTCTGACAACTTTGTAAATATTCAATTTCAACACCACATTTAAGTATTTTTTTGTTAGTCAAGAATTTGACTTGGGCCCCTCCAGGTGGCTCAGCTGGTCATAGTGTCCTCCTGTACACCAAAAGGTTGCAGGTTCAATCCCAGAAGGAGGCAACCAATCCTCGATTCTCTCTCTCCTCTCTCTCCAATAAAAACAAAGAATTGAACAAATAAACGATACAGCCTCAGGTGAGGATTTAAAAAAAAGAAAAAAGAATTTGACTTCGAGGAAAACTCTTTAGCCAGTCCTGTTCTAGATGGAAAGACCCACACTGTGGGTGCCCTAAAGAGCTCTTCCCAAAAAAGCACCAACAGATTAAACAGAAGTAACAAACATAGAGTGGAAAAAGGCCTGATCTCGTCAAAGGGATGAGCTAGAAGTCAGCACGCACACTGGTCCTCCTGGCTGACTGACGCGGGCTCTTTTTGCCTCCGTAAGCCATCTAGTAACGCTTGCACACACACGAGTTACAGAGAATCGGTTTCTTTCCTGGCTGCATTCTTTAGGCAAATCAACTTAAGTATTAAGGGCACTGAATAGTTTTCTTCTTCAAGCTACTGACCTGGTAACCTTGGAAGAAGTTAAGAATTTCCTTAACTCCAGTATTGTAGGCCAGGCCCTGCATTCTGACCACCGTGCCAGGCTGTGGTGGGACACCGCTAAGATTAGCAGCTGTAGGGAAGTAGCCAAGATTATTGGGCGAACCTGGGGGGCTAAAGGAAGAGAAAGTACAGTGAACCAATAGGAACAGACAACGTCGAATATTTACTCTACAAACATTAGCTACTTAAGGTAACAGACTCTCTCTGGGTGATCTCAGAATCATCCGAGGTTTCACTCCCAAGCCAGGTAAGAACACCGCATTCCCAGAAAAGCCTGAAGTTACAAGGGAGAAGGGTTAATGCAGAGTTAAGTGCAGGGCTTCCTCAAAGATCCCGTTCTCGCTGAGATTCTTGAAGGGACAGGAAGGAGAGAATTAAGCCTTTCAGGGCACTCAACCACAAAGCACCACTTGCACAGCCCAGCTCATTGATGATTAACTGGCTCGCCATCAGGAATACTAAGGCATGAATACGAAGGACTAACAGGAGCCATCGCCACAGACACCGAAAGAAAGCAGCATTTGAAGGGATTTTCCCAAGGAACAGACTGCTTTACCCATGCCCACAAGCAAAGGTACAGCACAGTAAGTGGAGCACAATAATACAAAAATACTGAAGCACCTCTGAGTTGTTATCCCTTCCAACTCGACTAAAAAGCAAGAGGAGGAGGTGGTGGGTAAAGTGGAAAAGATTCACAGCAAATTAAAATCAACCACCATTAACACAACGGGAAAGCTGACGCATGAGTCCCTCTTGGTACACCTACAGCAATCACCCCCAAGGAGCACACACCAAGTGAATCCCTAATTCTTCTTTATATGGCAGCTTAAGTAATTACCATATTATTAAATAAGTTTCATCCTATTCACCACCCAATAGGTTTTCCACCACAATTAGTGGCCAGAAACCCGTAACTGAAAATGTTGGGAAAATTTTAAAATAGGTTATTAGCTTAAAGAGCAATAAAGACCCACAGTTTTAGATTATTAACCTTCATAAATCTTTCTAAGTAGGTGAATATCCCATTTTAAAGACAAGCAAACACAAAAATGAAAGGGACAAAATCTTTGAGATTCTGTAGCCTACATAATCCTAACTGATGGTTAAGAGGAATGATGCCAGGTGTGCATCCAGTTCCAGACTCCATTTTATAATTGGCACAGTAGCCCTGAGCAAGTCACTTAATTTCTTTTAACTTCAATTACATCATTTGGTAGATGGGGATGATAGCACCTCTCAAGTTTCACAGAACTGTTCTGCAGATTCAATGATTAAACATACCACGTTATTCCATAAACCATAGAATGCAATAATTTGTTATTTCACTTTTGCTATTTCCATAACCATCATTCTATTGCACTATTTTGAAAATATGGGAGAGCCTGAAAGCATTACATACTTGACATCAAGCTGCCTTTAACCACTTCAGTTTCTAAAGCGGTGATCCTCAACTTGTTTGCCTATTAGAGTCACCTGGGAGAGATTGCTTCACAGGTGAATTTACCAAACATTGAAAAAGAGAATATATCTTTTTTTTTTTTGGCCAGCGTGGCTCAGTGGTTGAGCGTCCACCTATGAACCAGGAGGTCACGTTTCGATTCCCAGTCAGGGCACATGCCTGGGTTGCAAGCTCAATCCCCAGCGGGTGGCGTGCAGGAGGCAACTGAACAATGATTCTCTCTCATCACTGAGGTTTCTGTCTCTCTCCCCCTTTCTGAAATCAATACAGTTAAAAAAGAAAAAACAGGTAGGAGCTGTCCATCAAAGCCAGACTATATCAGAAACTCATCCTAATCTTTATGCTCAATTGTTAGTCACTGTTTTTGGTTCTTACTCACATCCGTTGTATTTTTAGTTAGGTTTTAGATTCCCAAGTGTCAATATTTATCAGTGTCTCTTGTGCACATAGTGTTAATAATGTAACTTCCACAAGTCAATACAGCAATGAATTCAAAGGTCTAGAGAGTGCTGGAAGATCGTACCACGTCACGTAAATGAACAAGGGGACTGCACTTGAGCTGGTCAGAAACCTTGCTGAGCTGCCTGAACAAAGAACTGAGGTGGGGGTGAGAGGAAATGAAGCGAAGAAAAGAAAAACATCAGGAGAGGGGCTTTACCAAAGGCTTAGTTCGGCACCACGGAGCATTGCTGCTGCACAGACCGTACTTATGACCACGGCCGAGGCTCCTTCACAAGCCACACGTGTGAAGAATCGCTGAATTTAGCGCACAAGTGCGCGTATCATAAAGTTGTTCCAGATCTCCTCCACTGCAGTGCTCCACGTCCTTCCTACATATTTAGGTAAAAAAAATTTTAGCCAAAACCGGTTTGGCTCAGTGGATAGAGCGACGGCCTGCGGACTGAAAGGTCCCAGGTTCGATTCCGGTCAAGGGCATGTGCCTGGGTTGCGGGCACATCCCCAGTAGGAGATGTGCAGGAAGCGGCTGATCGATGTTTCTCTCTCATCGATATTTCTAACTCTCTATCTCTCTCCCTTCCTCTCTGTAAAAAAAAATCAATAAAATATATTTAAAAAAAATAAAAAATAAAAATAAATAAAAAGAAAAAAGAAAAATTTTAAACCCAATGTAGAGAAAACCTGTTTCCCTCAGAGTCTGGCCTCCTTTCCTTTGAAGTTCTGAGGTTTGCAATTCTAATTTAGTTGCTTGAGATCCTGTTGTGAGACTATTCAAACACTGCTTCCTATCCTACATTTTCCCAGATACTAATTTATATCATTTAATTTCATAATGTTCAATGTATCCTAGTAAGTTATTCAAAATTCTGTGAACAGGTGTGTGTGTGTGTGTATAAATAAATAAAATACTGGGGGCCAGGATGCCTACCCCATGACACTCATAATATACACTCTAGAGAAAACAAGGGTCACATACACTTTACTCATTTAATATTACAAATTACTAAACATTGGTGACACTGATTAATGTTATCGGGCGGCATTCTAAAATATAATGTCATAGTGTGGCAGTATTTATCATTTGAGGACTTGCCATATTTCTCTAGAGGAGAGAGGATCACAGCATTACCTATCAGGTAAAGAAAGAGGTTAATTGAAAAGATTAGAGGACTGAATTCTCCCCTCTGGATGGGCACAACACATCAGCATAGGAAACATGAGAAGTCCCGTGAAAGACACCTGGTTCCCACTGCCTGACAAAATTACTACACAGATCCTTTTGGACTAACATTCATTAAATCCCTGAGTGTTATAAAGACCTTTTATTTGGAAAGTGACTGTTTTCATGTAGGAAATTAAAAAATTTTCATTATAATTTTTAAGTTTCAGATAGGAAGGGAGAAGGAGAATCAATAATGAGAACGATTCACTGATTGGCTGCCTCCTTCAAGTCCCCCACTGGGGATCAAGCCTGCAACCCAGGCATGTGCCCTGACTGGTATCGAATTATGATCTCCTGATTCATAGATAAGACACTCAACCACTGACCCACCCCGGCTGGATGTTATATAGGAAATTTTTGAACTAACTTTAAGTTTTCATCTGAAATCAATCATTTCAGCAAGGTTAACTTTTCAGTACTCTTTGGAAATTTAATTCCCTGACTGCTCATGGACTGCTTACTATATCTGGATCCTGGATTTGTTAGCTCTTTTGAAAGGCTATATTCGGTCATGTGCTGCTTAACTCTGAGTAATGCATCCTTAGGTAATTTCATCATTGATTGAACATCATTGAGTGAGTGCACTTATAAGACCTAAATGGTATAGCTTACTGCTTTGTAAAGGAGGAAAAATAATTTTCTTCTCTCCTAGGTTCTTGGCTGTATTAAAAGACAGATTAGCCTAGCTGGTGTGGCTCAGTGGTTGAGCATTGTCCTATGAACTAGGTCACAGTTCGATTCCAGGACAGGTTATGTGCCTGGGTTCTGGGCTCAACCCCCAGTAGGGGGCGAGCAGGAGGCAAATGATCAATGATTCTGTCTCATCATTGATATTTCTCTCTCCCCTCTCCCTCTTTGAAATCAATAAAAATATATTAAAAAATAAAAAAGGACAGATTAGCAGGAGAAAAACAAAAAGCTTAATGACATGTATACTTTCTGTAAGCATGGGAGAGATTTAGGAGATCTGAGTAACTCCCCAGAATGGCTGAAGCCGCCACCTTAACTACCACAAGGGGGAGTGAGGAGTTGAGGAGGAGGGGGACAGGTTACCAGGAAAAGCAAAGTAAACAAGGTTAAGGTTGTGCAGATTTAAGATTGTTGTTTTCAGTACTAAGAGTTTCTAGTGATAAAAATCATCCTCTTCTTCACAGGCAGGGGATATTCTTACTAAGAGAGATTTTCCTAACGAACGTAAATAACTTTTACAAAAAGTAACTTCAACTTGCTTTTCAGAGCATCTCCCTGTGTGCTGTTTCTTTTGCTTTTTAAACGATCGGCAATAATCGCGCCTCGGATAAACCTCTTTGGCTACCATACCATACTGCCACTGCGCAAAGCTTGTGTGCTGATTCTTAATCAGGCTAAAATAATCCTAATGCCAAAGACATATTTTGGGGTAACATTCCGTTCCCATACAGCTCCTATGCTACAAACCTGTGTAGGTGGCTATTTTACTGAATACTATCAGGGGTGGGGAACCTTCTTTCTGCCAAGGGCCATTTGGACATGTATAACATCATTTGAGGGCCATACAACATGATCAACTTAAAAATTGGCCTGCTGTATTTGGTCAAACATTTAATTAACTCACCCCTAATGCCTTGGCAGGGCCAGACCAAGTGATTTCATGCGCCTTATATGGTCCGCGGGCTGGATGTGCCCCACCCCTGCTGCAGACAATTGTAACACGATGACAAGTATTTGCAATGAGGTTATGATGGCTATCAGGTGTTAGGAAATTTTCAGCGCTCTTATAATTTGTGGATCCACCTTTCTATGTGCAATCCATCACTGACACTTCTCACTGAAACATCCTTATGGGGCGCCATGACTGTATACACCTCTTTATGCATGTGTATCTACCTTTCAAAGAAAAGTTAAATAACCAACGGATATGAAAACACTTCAGAATGCTTAAAGAGATCTTCCAAGAATCTATTTCACCTAGTCAGCTAATTTATGTTCTGT